TTTGAGTTTTTTCTTAATGTAACTTAACTTGAGATACTAAATGTTACGTTTAAGAATTATATTACTAGCATCATTAATTCGTACTTTGTAATATATAGAATCAATAATTAATTTACCAGAAAAAGACTGTACAAAAGTCAGCTGCTTGAATACTTCTGTCCTGCTCGAATTAATGTCGCAAAGCAGCCGTGCTTGCATGACTGTGTCTCTGTTTGAAGGGTCAGATATGACAATGAAATTACAGTGTACAGAAGCATAACACCTAAGTCCGGAGGAAAAAAATTGTTAGTAATGGGGACTACCTGTCCCATTGCTAGCAATATACCTTGCCAAGTCGACCTCCAAGTGGTCCTCTCTGGAAACCATCGTGTTGAATTCCAAGCATATTCATCGCGATGGGCTAACTGACCTACCCTTTCATTCTCAACTATAATCCCTCACTAGTGTCCCGCCAGCGTATACTGTCAACACAGGCAGGGCCACCATCCCATTTTCATCTTATCATCTTTTAAAAAACATCTTAGTCCTCAGGAATAGCAAAGCACAAGGGATATTATGGCTATCACAGTATGCTTTCTGTTATTTCCACGATACTGTTCATATCTATAGGCGACAGTTGCCATTTTCCATCAGGTGCGTCATTCTCCATTGCCATTCTAACTTTAATAAAATTTAATACTATTAATGGATTTTAATTATTACCGTTATTCCAAGTTTAACAGTATTTTGTAAATATAGCTTAGATGTAATCTATTGAGCTAAATTTCTACTTTGTATTTATAAAAACACTACTTGACCCGGCAAATATTGCTTTGCCCCTTACCGCCTACTGCCGGGTCCATTTTTTCTTATCGGAAATAAATTAAGATTGTTTTTCTCTCTCGAGTTAGAGCAAACAAAAAACACCGGCCAAGTACGAATCTTAACGGCGCACCAAGGATTTCATACAAAATATAGTTGAAAAAAAAAAAAAAAATATTAAGAAATTTTTCTTTTAGTTGTAACTACAAATTGATGAAGTATGGATTTACCTTTTATTTACAAATAAACGACATTGCTTCTTGCCAAATTTTATGATTCGATGTTAACAGGAAGTTCCCTATAAGTTTTGAATCCCTTGCGAATATCGAAATATATTTATATTTCGATTGCCTTGACTTAGAAGTTAGATATTTTCACAGCTATAAGGGATTGCCGACTTGAGTATTTAACATTAATTTCAGCTTGATATCTCCACGTATTCCAGAAAACAAGAGATTTAATAGACAAATATGTAGATAGACAGACAAAAAAGGCTTCTATTTTCCTTTTGAGGTACGAAACCCTATAAAATACACAAAAATGCATATAAAAATTAAAAAAAAATCAGTTGAGCAGATTCAGAGACTTTTACGATATTTGTTCAGCGCAGAACAAATGGCGTGACGAAATTTTTATATATTAGGTATAGGACCACATTTATAAAGTCATATATATGATCCCAAATATTACACAAACCCATAGAAAATCAGATAAAACATATGTTGTATTAGCCGTTAACTGACCACTGCTGAACATAAGCCTAACCCTTGGAAGATTTTGCGAGTAGTTGCCACGCTTGCCAAGCTGGTTGGCAACTACAGTTAGGTCTTTTGAGACGTTTTAAGAAGGACGCTGCCACTACTCCTCCACCATAAGCTCCCTTGGTCGCCTCTTACGAAGCCTAGGAAAAGGGATGGCCTATTCTATGCCTAGATCTACACAGCTAGATAGATTATATACAGAAGTTAACTCACTCACTCAGACAAAGTCACCTCTAAATTAAAATATTCATACATCAAACAAAAATTACATAGTGTCTGTATATTTAATTGGAGTTGTTCTAGATAATTGTATGTTTACAACACTCGTATTATTATGTTATATGGCTACCGACCACATAATGACATCATGTTTAGTCTAGAGCTACAAGAAAATGAAGGTTATTAACGCATTAAATAAATGTAGAGGCTAATACAGATTATTAAAATTTTTTTTTACATTTTTTTTTTATACAACTTAGAATGGCAAACAAGCTGATGGCCCATCTGATGGAAAAAGGTAACCGTCGCCTACAGACATGAGCAGTACCATGGACATAACAAAGTATACTGTTTCGCCCATGATTCCCCCCCCCATACGTTGCCATTCCTGAGGACTCAGGTGTTATTCCTCTGTACCCAGTAAATTCACGCTATATCCCACCCTTCAAACCGAAACACAGCCATGCAAACACAACTGCTTCACGGTAGAAACACGAATGGGACAGAGGTACCCAAGCAATCGACTTTTGTACAAAGTCTCCCTCTGGTAAATAGTTGAATTGGTCGTTTTTCATCTTATCCCACTTATCCCACTTCTGAGTAGAAGTCTTCATCATCTTCTTCAAAATAAAAGATTTACCCACATATCCACATGCATATTAACTTGGTATATTCGATTTTTTTTTCTTGTCTTATAGAAGAAAAGAATACTCTTTCTTTTGAATCGACTTTTAAAAAAGGAGGTGTACCATTCGATTATATTTTTAAGTTTTTATTTGATAACTTCATCAGTTGTAAACAGATTTGGAAAAACCTTATTTTATTTAAAAGGGTATACTTACAAATAGGTTTCATAGAAATATTATCAGAATTGGTTCAGTGGTTTACTTTCTAATTCAAAATAATTGATTTGGCCACAACTGAAGTCTTTTCTTTTTAATAGAAATAAAAGACATAGTGATAAAAATTTAAGACTCATCATCATCATCACCATGTATGGTCGATGAAAATTTGAAAATAAGACTTCAAACATAAACATAAGCATAGTATTTGTAACTGTATGCTATATTCTATGTTCATATTGTAAGTTTAAGACGTAAAAATCATAGATAAATTAAATCAAAATAAAAGCTGGCAGTATATGGTACATATATTATATACGTGTAGACCGCGCAAACCTCAATTTGACTGCTCCGATTTATTAGTCACGTTCCATCTATTGTTAGTGGGTAGATAATTCCACAAAACATTTCAATCAAAATACTTACTGACAGCACAAAACTAACTGTTACGGCTTTGAAATAATAACAGAACAATCTAGCAGGATACATTCGAATAGCAGATGGCGCCACTATTAAAGGCTATTGAGAATGGTGGCGCGTCCAACGCGGCCGCTCGAGGGCCCATATTAGCCCGCAGTATTTCACGAGCCGCCCGCAGAGGTGAGAACATAATAAGCGGTTGAGGCCATTTTTAATATTCCAGCTTCATTACGTCGTATTACAAACGTCTTGGGTGGCGAATTCTATCGCGAACACTCTTAATACCGGGTTATTAAGGCTGACCGGTGTGGGGCGTTCCGAAAGTCCGATTTATTTGAATTTTTGCTCAGACTCAATTTGGGAAATTGTTCGACTGGCGGCACTGGCGAATTAAGACGTCAGCGTGATTGCGCGAGGTGTTTAATTATGTAAATGGTACGGCTAGTGAGGTGGGTGGTGGTGCAATTACGCCAAATTTGGTCACGTATTAGGACACTTCAGATTTATTATTTTCTTATACTCGTGTATCGAACGGGTCTGGCGATTTGTTCTTGTTTTTATTTTATTACAGTTATGAACCTGATCCAACACGTTTACAATGTAGCCACAGATTTTATTTAAATAACAACACGTATGTGGGTATTAATTTAATTGAGGTATTATGAATAGTAAAATAAAATTTATTAATGCCTATATAGATAAAATATTACATTAAATACATTAATTAGGTAGGTATCTTTTTTCTTCGATAAATAGACTAAGAATGGCGCAATTAATTCGTCATGAATAAATAACGAAGCAATTATGCTAGGTAATACTACTTTTTGACAATTTGCAGTCTTCAGAACTTTACACGCAGTATTTACGCAGCGTTCGCTATTTTAGGAATTCACTCTAATAGTTTAGTGTGTTTGAGAAAAAAAAAATCACGCACACAATGTCGCGGACTAAACTAGTATATATAAATAAAAAATATGGTCATTACAAAACAAAACTTCCTTGTACACAAGTATCTCTCCCTAGAAGAAGTCCACTCTAGCCTGACAACTGAGGGCCTACCATAAAATGTTGTTCGAAATTTCGGAGCTAAACGAAACAGAAATTTGATGTTAAAATTACATACATGCCGTTTGGAAATATTAAAAATGTTAAAATATTGTTCCTTTTGACTTTTATGATAGGATGTATGACGAACGAAATGTTAAACTCCATTTATTGGTCCGATTTTGGCATAAACAAAAACATGAAATTGATTTCAGAAATTTCATTTCATGGTAGACCCGCTGATTTGGTAGATCATCATCATCGTCTTAATCTTTTGCCCTTATCTCAATTATTTGGAATCGATGTTATATAATTGGTAGATATAAGGATTTATTTCTAATATCTCTTCTCTTGCACAGATATTGATTACTTACTAAATATGTACTTGTAATATAATAAGTGAATTCAATGTAATAAATATAATTTATAGGAAGAGATAAATAAATATAATTTAATCTGGAAGTTGTGTGTATGTGTACGTGTGTGTGCGTAGGTGTGTGCGCGCGTGTGTGTGTGTGTGTGTGTGTGTGTGTGTGCGAGTATGTGTGCTTGTATGTATGCGTGTGTCTGTAGGTGCATGCGTGTCTCTCGCTGTGTGTCTTTGTGTTTGTACGCATTAATATAAAAATTAAGGTCTTTAAGTTATTTTCTCACATCTGTGGGATAAGTAAGACCTCTAGCATCATAGTCAAGTGTTTTTAACCAATTGGATATGAGCTTTTTACAAACTTTTTACCTATGATGTCGGTTGATTGACAACCGAGCGTTTATATTGTAACTACTATATAAGTAATATTACCCAACTCTATTGGAAATAAAAAAAACTATGGTATTCGTATTCTGTCTCTATATGGAAATTGTACTATGGAAAATCTTGAATCGTTTCTATTTCCTTATTATTAATTTATCACAGATACTGGCATCGCATATGGAAGTGCGCTGCAAATGTCACGGTCTCTCAGGAAGCTGCCAGCTCAGGACGTGTTGGAGAGCCACTCCTGACTTCAGGGTCGTAGCATCAACCATCAAACGACAGTATAGAAAGGCAAGCACACGAAATAATTTAAATAATTAAATTACAGGGTACGGAGGCGTGACTAAGTATCTTTAGGAATGGCAGCGTACGAAGAGTACCATAGGTATCAAAATGGTTTATGAGTATTTTTTAAAAACAGTGTTTAAATTCAAGGCTATACGTCTGGTTAATTGATTAAAATTAGTTTGTTTAATTCCACTACCATTAATATGTGTGTGACTGCCAACACTCGAAGATTGACTACCACTATTATTACCAGAAGATCTATAACCTTCCATATTAGCCATCAATCTCTGACTGTCATTTTGTTCATGCACGTTTTGCGACACGTGTTTCACCTATTAACGAGGGATCTTCAGGCAAATTAATAGATCGCTTCTCGTAGCCTAGTGTAGTTTTCTACCGTGTTGCCGTATTTGTTTGCTTTTAATAGGGGAGTAGGGTGAGTGTGAGTGAGGCATGTCTTGCAATGAGTAAATGCAACAATTCAGTACTAGTCACTGTCGCTGTGTCACCATATTTTAATTGCATGTACTTCTTGAGTTTATTCAAAACAGTATATTCTGTTATGTCCATGGTACTGCTCATGTCTATAGGCGACTGTTACCACTTTCCATCAGATGGGCCATCAGCTTGTTTGCCGTTCTAAGTTGTATAAAAAAAAAATTACAAATAAACAAACAATGTCTAGAATAAGTTTACTATTGTAATCTTTTGGAGGAAACAATAAAGAGTATCTATCTATTTTTTCTCTTTATATTAGTATAGATTTATTTAAAAAATTTATAAATTGCCTTCAGGCACTGATGGTCGCACAAGAGGAGCTAAATAAAGGCATGATGGTGCTAAAAGGTCGACCACGAGGGAGAAGGCGGAGTAGGGCGCGCCCGGCACCAAAGTCCAGTCTATTGTTTTTCGAAAAGTAAGTCTTATAATATCTACCTATGTTAGAATTATCATCAATTTAGTGACTTATACAAAAAGCTAATATCAGGATATTCATTTTAAATCCGCTTAAACGATTTTAATGAAATTTTGTAAATGAATATTGTTTGATCCAGCTTAAGAAATAGGCTAGTATTTATCTCGATAGCAAAAAAATAGTAAGTTGCGATGAGAGATAAAACAAAGTTTGTCAGGTCAGCTAATAAATTCAATAGATATCATTCAATTAAGATTGTGTTCCAAAAAAACCGACTTCGGAATTGTAATAAAACCAGTTATTTTAATTTAGAAACTATACTATTTAACCGATTTTGATAAAATATCTATGAGAACAATCTGTAAGTATAACCTTTCAGATAAAAAAAGAATTTTTCAAATCAGGGTATATTTATTTTTAAACACACAATCGAGACCCGACGCGTTGTAAAAGCATTTACAGGTAAACAGTACTTACATACAGTTTATAATTGACAGAGATATGAGGTAATAAATATAAAAAAAAATAAAACCGAATTCAAATTAAAAAAAAAAAAATTCCAAATCAGTTTACTGATTGACTGACTGAGTTATAAGGTAACTAACATAAAGAAAATACAACCGAACGCAGAACCTCCTTTTTTTGAAATCAGCTGTAAATTGCATAAATAATAAAATCATTTTTGAAAACACTTACCAGATCACCAAGTTTCTGTGAGGCCGACCCCAGGACTGATTCAGCAGGCACCACAGGTCGCATCTGCCGTATTGGCAGAACGACCCGCACTGGTTCATGTGACCTTCTGTGCTGTGGACGAGGCCATGCCCTGATCAGGAAATCCAGTATAAAGCCATGTAACTGCACATTCCACTGGTGTTGTAGAGTTGACTGCCAGAGGTGTAGGGATGACAAATGGATCGCGATTTGCAAATGATTCGACTTTATTTAATTTAAAAGACATTGCCAATTGATTGTATATGTATTGGCTATACATAAGTACCTACTTTTTTGTATTTATACAAACTCTTTATTGATAAAACTTCAAATATGTCACAAACACATTTTAGATGTTGGAGTGTTACGTCTTTTTTTATAATTAATTGCTATATCATATACATGTAGATATAGTCTCTTTATAATCATTGCATCAAAAACAACCTATTTATTCTCATATGAATCAATTTCTGTCATATATATGAACACGATTAATTTGTCAGTGAATTTCAACCATATATATATATATATATATATATATATATATATATATATATATATATATATATATATATATATATATATATATATATATATATATATATATATATATATATATATATATATATATATACCAAAATATTACAGTTACCTGTTACTCGAATCCCGAATAGTAATACACTTTATATTAAAGAAAATGGCGCCATTACAGACAGTTGACTGACAATTTTTGGAACGTTATGGACACTGGGCACTCTATCTAGATGTATATGATCTGGTTTAACTAAATTGTGATTTCTTTAAATTTAAAAAAAAATGTAACTTAACACTAATATCTAAATACTTTATTGAAAGTCTTTTAGAAACAACTGGTTATACATAAATGCTAGTAATAAATAATTTATAGTAAAACAAATTTTAGATTTCAAAAATATAACAGTAATAATTATATGTACACAAAAAAATATTTAAAAAAATGTATTTTCATTTTAGATAATTATAACATAATAACATATTCCACAGATTTAATACATAGTTAATTGCCATTTGATAATGGCAATACACAGGGAGTACACGCTGAATAAGTACAGAAAAGGAACTACATTTATTTCTGATAATGTACCTAATCTGGTGTCAAAAAATAAGTTTTTGGCATAGCGAAAATAGTTTGATGTTATACATTTCATTTTAAATATGCACCTATCTTTCACGTAAAAAAACTACCCAGTGTCTGTGACTTTGTCTATGTGAATTAATAGTAATGTCATATAAACTACGACATCCCAAATTTTTGGCATTTTTAATGTTTAAATTAGTTTAGTCTTAAAAATATAACAAAGATACATACAGACAGAGTTACTTGGAGTTTATAATAAGAGACAAAGCTTTAAGTTTTATTTTGTCCGTATTTTAGGTATTTAATTATTTAATTATAATTTTTCATTCCAAACGTGTCACTTTGTTATTTCTTGTTAATTAATGACATAAAACTACCTAATAGAAATAGTAATTCTATTCCTTTTGAATGCATGTAACATGTAATATGTATGTAACTAGGTTGGCAAGCAATAAAGCATGTGATCCGCATGATGGTAAGCGGATATCGTAGCGTGTATATGGTTGCAACACCAATAAGATATGATATACAAGGTGGAATCAAAATCGTTAGCTTCCTTTGAAAGGAAATATTAATTAAGGGAAATATGGGTGGAAATAAATTTTGGTCCCCCCATACTAACATGGCGTACTCAAATGTTGAGTTAGTATGGGCACAGATAATATATGGAATGGGTGACGGAATATTTTTTTTTATCTTTTTTAATTTTTTTTTCTTAACGTGTTATATACCATGGGTAGAATCTTATATTTAATAATTATAATAAAAGGATTTTAATAATAATTTTTCATAAAAATTTACAGTCATGCAAATTTAAGGCAAACATTCTATGCGAGAAGACCTACCATTTATTTTAAGTAAATTGTAATGTTTTTTTTGCAAATAAATGATTGATTTATTGATTATTTTTACGTATCACAAACGATTTTGATTTTACCTGTAACTGTACCTACACTTGTAAGTTAACAAGGCTGAAATTATCGACTCAAGCCATTAATGTATCCTTTTTGATAAAATTTTGAAAAAAAATAAATATAGAATTTAAAACATAACATTCCTTTACGGTACATTCCAGGAATATACATTTTTTAATGTCCATAGTACCTTTAATATAAGTACGTATCTAAATATACCATAGAATAAGTGTTAATAACAATCAGTATTAAATTTAGGTAAAAATGTATATTCTAGTTCAATAATTAATGCATCATTCCATGAAATTGTAAATATACAAATACAGTACCTAATTCACCTTTTACATTTCCAGTTCGTGATATTTATTGAATTTACTATTTATTGTTAGATTTAAGGTCAATTTGTAACGAATTTTTATTTTTATTGAAATAAATTAGTGAATCAAATAATTGCATTTTTCCTGTATTCCAACTACATACATATACGATAAATTCTCGATTACGTTTAAAAATCTGAATGGTTTTATACGAAATAAAAGCAAGCAAAGCCACAAAATATGCTTGTGATAAATAAGATGTCGACTCTAAAAATATTACCAAAACGCTTTTAACTACTAAATGTGTAAAACAGAATTTTTCTGTCGTTTTTTACTTGTGTTTCTCGGTAGTAATTTTCAGTTCCACTAATAGAATATTTCCTTAAAGTCCTGTTTCACTCTGTATAATAATTATAAAATATATAATTATTATCAATAAACAGCACTTAAACAAAATAATTCTAATCAAATACCTAACTAGTCATATGGATTACCGCAAGATAACGCAAGATAAGTTTAGTAAAATAAACAACACTTATTATTTATTAAGCTATACTTAACGAAATAAGTGTCCATTTATATCCATATCTTTAATTTAAATTAATCTCTTTTGATCCTTTTATACTTATACTAGTTATCCGGCCCGTCTTCGCACGGGTAAATAGAATTTCCAAAAATAATGTCCTATGTTACTCACTGATAATGTAGCTTTCTACAGATGAAAGACTTTAAATATATCGGTTGAATAGTATTTGAGCTTATCCATTACAAAGAAACAAATAAGCAAATATTACCTCTTTATAACATTAGTATAGATAAAAACTGTTTTATAAAATTGGATCCTTTTTAATATTATTGTTTTATAAATGATAGTTTAGATATAAATTTTAGCATACTTTATTCATGTCATCCTCATGCGTAGGATACTACAGAGCAAGTAATCACTGCATTCGAAAACGTATTATAAAAAAAAAAAACAACAAAACAAAGGTCTTGCTTTCAAAGATCAACAAGAGCGCACTTGAATAGAAGTGACATCTCGATGAGTTTTCTCACCAATTATCTTGTTACTTCCAGTTAATTTGAACTCTCGACTCGAGAGCTTCAAGAGGTTCTTTTGTTGTGCTTCGACGCGCTGATGTATCTCCTTACCTAAACATCTATTGATACTTTTTTTTTCAATAACTTTGGAAGGTATAACTACGTAAGTATACAATTGTGTTATTTTTACAACATAGAATATGATAGACAGTAGATATGGTTGTTTTATTGTTTATTTTTTAATAAAGATTCACAGAAATTAGTATTTTTATGCAAACACTTTATTTTACAATTATTTTGTTATGTACCAGATGGAGACTTTGTACAAAAGTCGATTGCTTGGTTACCTCTGTCCCATTCGTGTTTCAACCGTGAAGCAGTTGTGTTTGCATGGCTGTGTTTCGGTTTGAAGGATGGGATATAGCGTGAATTTACGGGGTACAGAGGAATAACACCTGAGTCCTCAGGAATGGCAACGCATGGAGGGTATCATGGGCGAAATAGTATACTCTGATATGTCCATGGTACTGTTCATGTCTATAGGCGACGGTTACCACTTTCCATCAGGTGGACTGTCAGCTTGTTTGCCATTCTAAGTTGTATAAAAAAAAAACTATATTAATATGACTAATTCAATACTAATATTAAATATTAATAGATAAATTCCAACTAAATCAAAATAAAAAATTTATATTATTTATTTATTATTATTATTTCTCACCACAAACAATTTAGGACTTAATATCTATAACTTGCAAAACATTTTAACATCTCTCATCGTAGCAGAGTCAGGAATAAATTTAGGTACACATACAAAATAATTATTCTACACATTATACAGATAAGAAAACATTCCCAAAAATTTATTTATTTATTCTTTATAACATAATAAATTTTGTACAAGTGGTGTGGTGGTGGTGAGCTTAATTAAAAATTCATTCCGAATGTTCCCCTTTCATCTACCAGTGTTTAATAAAGTTAACAAAACTAACAGAAAAATAGAAATAGCTGCTATAAAATCCCGTTACTCTAACAGTGTAATGGAATAGGTACGTTATTGCGTAAACAGCCAATCGATCAACTGTTAAATTCCTTTTACCTTTCTTAAGGATAGAAAAGGACGGAACGCTAAGTGTCTGTTATCCGCCTCTTCAGATTTTGTTTTGCACCCATTCTTCTGAATCGGGATTGAGATCTTTCGACAGGATTACCTCACTAACTGACATGTATACAAACACAATAGGATCGAGTTTTATATTGTGCAGGATATAAATAAATGTTCCGCTTACATCCGCACGGTTGAAGACCGTATTCATTGCGAAATATCTGGAATTTGTGAGTTTATAGAAACGAAGTGATAGTGGATCGAATCGATTCTAAAGTTAAATAGGTTTCGTCATGCTTGTCAACAGGAAACGCTTAGTTGACATAAACGGAGTGATAGAATAATACAGAATGGTGGTCATCTGGCTAATGCTAAAATAACATGACGTGTACGGGTAGCCTTGACCCATATTTGGTTAGAAACAAGTTTAGATTCAAATAAAGGTTGTGGTAAAATAATCACTTAAAAAATTTAAAATATATATAATGTACCTATATTCTATACAATAAATAATATATAATTATATTCATATGTAATTGTTATATAGAGGAATTTCGGTAGAATATTGACTTTCATCACCTACTTCATCTCACACTTAGGTGCTGGTTCAGGGCTCCCGTAATTCGTGTTATCGTTGTCTATTTTTCCTCGATTTATGTGTATGCATATAAAAACAATAATAATAATAAATAATAACCTAAACTCGCCCCAAATAACCGAAGATTGTTAATAATTTTAATCACTGCCGTGGAGGTCGATGGTTGTTCCCGCGTAAAAGTTGACACACAGGCGTTGTTGCACGGCACTCACACCAGAGGGCAGGCGTCTCCATATATCCCCGTAATGACTAATTTACAGAGACAATATATATTTATATGTGTGTGTGTGTGTGTGTGTGTGTGTGTGTGTGTGTGTTGTAGAATTGTGAAAGTGTGGTGCCGCGAAGTAAAAATATTGCAGATAAATTAAACAGTAATACTGATATCATCTATAAGGTCCAGTTATACATATTATATTATAGTTATATTATAGATTTAATACTGTTTCTCAAGTATGTACTACCTATTCAGTGGTGGTCCCACTGAAAATCAGCGCTGCAGTAACATGCTGTAACTTAAGCTATGTGGGGTATATTTCGACTGTTACCACGGAATATTTAAAGTTGTCATTAATATTGACATGTTTTGTAACTGAATAAATTATTTATTCTTATTTATTAAAGTACAAGGGTTGGAAAATGGTAACATACTTATATAAACATGTCTAATATTATGGACATCTTCAAATAACTGAAACTGAATAACTGAAATACTCCTCATGCATTGCCATTCCTGAAAACTAAGATATGTCTCCATATTCTTTCATTAAAATATTTTGAATTACTTTAAATTATTATTACAATTAAAGCGTTTAAATTACTTTGCCGATATATGGCTTTGAAATTCGAAACTAAGCCATACAGACATAACTGCTTTACTGGAGAAATACAAGTGTGACAAGCAAAGTGTTGTACAGTCTTTCTATATGATAGTGAGTACTTCGTTTTCATCTAATAATAATGATGAGTCCTGATCATTTTCGGTCACGGCGATCACTTCAACTTGACTGTTATTAATTAATTGACATTTTTCATCTTTTGTTTTTTTATACAACTTAAAATGGCAAATAAGCTGACAGTCCACCTGATGGAAAGTGGTAACCGTCGCCTATAGACGTGAGCAGTGCCATGGACATAACAGAGTAAATGTTTCGCCCATGATATGATACGCTCCATGCGTTGCCATTCCATTGCCATCTAATATAGACTTGAAGTAAATGATAAATTATTCTAATTAGCAGTCTGTTAATTATAATTAATAATAAAGCCTGTAAAAACCATACCGCAAGGCCGTGTGGTATTATGATCTAATACAGTTACGTAGGATTAGTGTTGTTCTTAATTCCCGAAGCCCCAGCACTTGTGAGGGCTCCAGAAGTAAACAATCATTCGCCCTCGGGGCGCGTTAGCGACATAGTCGTGCCAACACCGCCTGTTATAAACGAGTGAGTATTTTTAATTATTATTATTAAAAATTTATATTATTTGAAAACCGTATTAGTGTAGTAAATTAATTTACTACACTAATACAGTTTTCAAATTAAATACACAATAATTTTAAACAGGTTATTCTTAAGTATCTCCGATATATTTTTTTAATCTAACACGATACATTGACTCTATAGCCATCTAATTACTTAAATTAATAACTCCTTAGTCTTAATTCAGATTCGGATTGTATCGGCAAATTAGATACCTACCTTAAGTACTTTAGTTAAATTACTCAAGGGTGAAGGGATAGGTAGCAGCGTCCCTCTTAAAACATCAGCAGCCACCAACCCGCCTGCCAAACGTGTCAACTACTGGCAAAACTTTCTATATGAGGGAAGGCCTGTGTGGCCAGCAGTGGACAGTCAACAGCTGATATGATGACGATTTTTATTAAGTTTATTACTTAAAATAATAAATATCTTTTTAAAAAAATAACTTCAACTTTCAACTTTTTAAAAACTCATTTGTATGAATATCTATATCCCATTTGTGTTTCTATTGTTGTGATTGCTTGCCAATATACGCAAACTAACAGCTTATTCCTCAACTAATAACAACTAATTCGAGTAACATGTGAGGAATACCAGAACGATGTCTACAAAACTATTTCATATTTATAGGTGACGACTCCCAGTATTATTTTAGAAGGGTCGTTATTGTGTTTGCCAAGTAGTTTGCAAAAAAAATTATAGATATGTTTACTAAAATACTCTTATTCCGTATTTTATGCTACTGTAAATAGCAATGTACGAAGTGCAAGAAAGTATATTATTTTTAATTCAACAAAAATGGCAAACAAGCAGACGACCCACCTAATGGAAAATAACCATCGCCTATAGACATGAACGGTACCATGGAGATAACATAATGAAATATGATCGATGTTATAAACTTCACAGATGTTTATAATCCTTGATACCACACATGATACATATACAGAAATATTTCACTATATTATCGTTTAGATATTATTTGAAATCTATTCAAATAATAATTGTAAATAAAAATACTTAAGTGAAAAAGAAAGAAAATTCCAAAGATGTTGAATATATAACAAATGTAAATGCATATGTATGATTACAAAATATATAATATTTTTTAATGTTAACAGCAGTATTGTCCTACTAGGACTTACTGGCATTTATGACGAAAATAATCTGGCAAGATGAAGGAATGCCTTAATATTTCAACTCTACCAAGCCCTTTAGACCGTTATGAGCTCGGAACAAAACTTGGCTCAGGAATCTTTGGTGACGTACACAAGGCTATAGACACACAAGCCGCTGGAAAAGCTGTCGCAGTTAAAATTCAAATACATACAGATGATAACGAAAACCACATACAAGAAGAGTATAAGATTCTAAGAGATTTTACAAAACACCAGAACCTGATAGATTTTTATGGAGTATTTTGTGAGAGATCAGAAGATGTTAAGAGAATATGGTTTGTTTTAGAGGTAGGCACTTATATTTTTAATACACTTTTTTAATACACAATTTGTCAAATTTAAGTTTTTTATTTCATCCAGTTGGTGATGCAGTTTTTAAAAAAAATTAATTTAATATTAAAAAAAATACTACAAATTTTCACTAATTAAATACCATAGTGTACTCGAAAGTACTAGGTACTCTGCGAAATGTTAATAAATTCAAGTATCTATCTATTACGTTCACCGCAAAAACAATAATCAAGAAAATGCTTTATAATGCCCTATCTAGGTTATAGTGAGCATATTTTTCATATAACAGCAAGTAATTCATCTTCCAGTTGTGCGAATGCGGATCTGTTATCGACATTGTCAGAAAGCTACACGCGGCCGACAGAAAAATGTCTGAGGAGCACATCGCATACATCCTAAAATATACAATCAAGGTAAGCCCATATTCGACTGACTATAAACATGTCTCTCATCACATTCGAGCCGAGATGGCTGTTTATAAAACAAAGGGACTGCCAGTCCACCTTTCAACGGCTGAATCAATTGGTGGGTACTTTGAATGCAAACTCAATTGTTCTCGTATCCGTGTTCGGGCGCTCTCTGTCCGTTACGTGACGTTGTATAAAATATTACTCTCCGAATGTCCACGTACGAAATACTATCTAGGGCCATTACTTAAAATGCACGCCGCTTTATTTGACGTGATTCGCGACGGAACAGTCGAACTTGTCGATGCGAATGTCTGCACGCACCCGACAACACCATGATGGCCCCCCATCGCGGCGCATCGCTCAATTATCGTAAATAATGCTCGCGCACACAAGATATACGGATCTGTAGCGCAGTAGCCAATGATCCCTCGGACTCCCACGGAACAATTTAAAATCTTCCTTACGGTTGTCAGTATTGAGTTCCTAATCGTGAACAAGTATTGGTCCTTTAGACTTTAAATGTAATGGTAAACGATAAATGAGTATTATCTTTATGCGAGCCACTTGCCCCACAATACCGGTGCTCTGTCCTTTTCGTTCCGCAGATCTTCTACGCATATCTATCGATGTTGCAACTCGTAAGATACATAATCGGTGGTCCGTGCAATGGAAAATTTACATATCGATATCGAAATCCTTCAAGGAATTATAAATTAATCTCGAAACGTTTTAAATAATTTAACGAAAATGTACAATACATAAGTAGGTAATTAATTATTGTTATAATTTTCTAATTTCAGTTTCAAGAGACTAGTTGTTGCGAATATTATATTTTTTTAGAATGTATTATCAAAAATTCTGGATTTTATTCTTTAATTCTTATTTACCTATCTACTACGAGTATCTACCTGCATCATTTGATGTCAACATCCAGTATAAACCCTACATGAAAACATGTCACTTCTATATATTACATAACAGGAAATAAGTATTACATTTATCGACATCTACCAGTACACCCCTAAAACTTGAACGATCATAATGAACGCATTAAACATACTGATAAATCAGACAGTAGAGGGCTCAGACAGACCGCCTGCGACAGTACAGAACCTGATACGTATGCAAATAATCCCAATGAATCTCTTGGGCGTGGATCTCTTGACTGACATTGATGTTCCTATCGCTGAGCCGTCTTACATTGGACGTGATGGTAGCACACTTCATTCATTAAAGGTGGTCTCTCTATCACCCGTCAAACACTGATCGATTCCATCAATTGACTTTTCATGTATTAACTTAAAATAATAATATTTTTCAGGCTGTAGTTTATTTGCACGAGAACAAAATAATACATCGAAATATAAGATGCAGTAATATTTTAATCACGAAAGACGGTGAAGTGAAACTTTCAGATTTTGGGCTATCTTGTAAACTAAAGGGTACACATGAAAAAAGTAAATCAAATATTGGATCGCCAAGTTGGATGGCTCCAGAGGTCGTGACGTGTGATGACGAGGGCTATGGTAACAGAGCTGATGTTTGGGCTTTAGGTATAACTACAATTGAAATGGCAGATGGCAAAGGTCCTTTTCAAGAAATGCATCCTACCAGGGCATTATTCCAAATTGTCAGAAACCCACCACCAAATTTAGCGAAACCGGCAATGTGGTCGAATGACATCAATGATTTCATTACAGAGTGAGTAATATTCAAAAATTAAAGATACCGTGTCCTCAGAACTATATCTATATTATTTTAAATACTTATTACTTATATAGATTTAAAAATTATTAATTTAGGATTTTAATAAATTATTAAAAATAATTATTCCAGATGCTTAGAAAAAAATCCTGAACATCGTCCCTATATGATGGAACTAACAGAGCACCCATTCATACAATCTGTACCTGAAAATGATTATCATGTATGTATTAATGTAAAAAATAATATGACTTTGTTCCAATTGAAATGTGTGGTATATTTTGTACTTATGTCACGATTTAGTTGACTTTGAAAATACTTTGAGTTAAAAAAAAAACTTATAATTTAATTAAAAAGTCTATTTTAAGTTCTCATAAATGTACTAATAATTATTTTAGCTGTCAACGGAATTAAAATTTTTAGCAATGGATTTGAAACAAACAGACGCTCCAATTAAAATACGAGAAAGGATAATAAAAAACGGTGTTTTGATAACTGAAGGATCACATAATCCAGAAATTATGCAAGTAGAAGACCTGGCTGCTTTAGAAGTTTTAACGGAAGATAACATTCTTGCTGAATTACAGACTAAACTAGTAAAAGGTTCTTTCACATCTTTTGTGGGAGATATTCTTCTTATTCTCAATCCTAACATAAAGAACGATATTTATAATGAGCATGTAAGTAATGAAATTACAAATAATACAAAGTTGTTGTTATTTTATATTAATATTTAATATGTTTAATAATTTAATCTATTCCAGTACCATAAAAAGTATGAATGTAAAAGTAGGTCCGACAATGAGCCACATATCTTTGCTGTAGCAGATAGCGCATATCAAGATGCCCTGCATCACAATGAGCCACAATATATAGTGTTTACTGGGGAAAGTAAATCAGGGAAAACAACTAATATGCTTCATGCATTATCACACCTAACTTTCTTAGGCGCAATGAAAAACAATACAGCTGAAAGAATACAAAAGGCTACAAAAATTATTCAAGCTGCTATTACTGCTGCTACACCTATAAATATTAATTCTACAAGAGGAATTTTTCAAATACAAGTGACATATGGAAGTTCTGGGAAACTTAGCGGCGCTATATTTTGGCTATATCAATTAGAAAAATGGCGTGTATCGTCTACTGATATGTAAGTATTAATTATATTTTTTGTACGTTTGAGATAAAACTAAAATTTCGATACTAACATGTAATCAACTTTTTTAGGAGTCAGGCAAATTTCAATCTTCTATATTATTTCTATGACGCTATGGAAGCAGCAAATAGATTAGACGAGTTTAATTTAGAAAAAAATAGAAAACACCGATACTTAAGAATACCAGAAGAACTGTCAAAAATCATGAATAGTGCAAGAGAAAGTACTGAACACAATACAAATAACTATAAGGAATTTGTAGAAAACTTGAAGATATTAGATTGGGAAACGGAGGACATAAACTTTCTAGAAACTGTAATGGCTGCGATTCTGGTTCTAGGTAATGTCAGGTTTAAAGATAGCAAAAATGGTTTCGCTGAAATAGAAAATCCAGAAGAAGCTAAAAAGGTTGCTAAATTATTATGTCTTGAAGAAGTAAAATTTCTATGGGCTCTTCTTAACTATTGTTTGATTGAAAGTGGAACAGCCGTAAAAAGGAAACATTCTACTGATGAAGCAAGAGACGCTAGAGACACTTTAGCTAGCGCTTTGTATAAAAGACTAGTTGATTGGATGATTAATTTGATAAATTCCAAGTTATCATTCATGCGATCTGTTTTGTGAGTAATTACAATTAATTTGGTAAAACGAAATTATAACTTTTAAAAAATAAAAATTTATAATAATAAATACTTTGTTACAGTGGAGATAAATATTCAGTAAGTTTGCTAGACATGTTTGGCTTCGAATGTTTTCATAGAAATAGATTAGAACAGCTAATTGTCAATACTACAAATGAACAAATACAGTTTCTGTACAATCAAAGAGTATTTGCATGGGAAATGCAAGAGGCAGCAGAAGAAGAAGTTGTCACGGCTTCATTAAAATTTTATGATAATAAAAATTCCGTTGATCAACTTATGGGTAGACCAATGGGTCTATTTTATATTCTAGATGAAGCAAGTCGGACTGGAAGTGGACAGGAGTTTATTATGAGTTCGTATAATTTTATCACGTAATTCGCATTAAATGTCGAGAGAAGTCTAGAAAATAATGTTAATACTATTTTTAGACAATTTTTAATTTTATTTTCCTTAATATTATACATATCAGGCGTAAATTATGTACCTGTAATGTAGTAATATATTTTTTTTATTTAAAAATAGGTACAATAAGAACAACATGTAAAGGACCATATATAAGATTATCTGGAAGCCATGAATTCAGTGTAGCTCATTACACGGGCAAAATAAACTACGATGCCCGAGAAATGGCGGATAAAAATAAAGATTTTCTTCCTCCGGAAATGATTGAGACTCTGCGAACTTCAACAAATATTACAGTGCAACAATTATTCAGAAACAAATTAACTAAAACTGGTAATTTGACAGTATCACCAAGTCAGCCAAAAGTGGTAGTGGAAAGATCGAAATCTGAGAAAGAGATAGAGAATATGAAAGCAAGGGTAAGCTGACAAATTTATTTCCAAATTCTGTACAATTAAAATAAGGTAGGAATATCTAATAATGAATCTCTTTTCTCTCTCTCTCTGAACTTGTTATATCTTACAGAAATACAATACAGTGTCAAGAGGACAATTCTCACAAGTGCATAGAATGAGGACGGCGGCGGCAACATACCGGGCCTGTAGCTTAGAAATCCTTAAACAATTATCTATGGGCCCTGGTAGTGGAGGAACTCACTATGCAAGGTGTATTAGAGCAGATTTAAATGATAATCCAAGAGGATTTCAAACAGAAATCGTTAGGCAACAATTAAGAGCTTTGGCTATCTTAGACACAGCTAAGGCTCGTCAAAGTGGATATTCTTGTCGTATACCTTTTGCTGAATTTATTCGTCGGTAAGTCATATTAAAATTATTATATCCTATTTTTACTCTTACAGTTTAATATAAATTTAAACTGTTTTTTTTACTAGCTATATCCTGCGGCTTTACCCGCCTGAATCGTATAAAAAAAGTATCCTATATGCTGAGTTACAATATAGCGTACCCGTGTACCAAATTTCATTTAAATTCGTTGTTTTTGTATGAATGAGTAATAAACAAATATCCATTGATTGATCTATCCATCGCTACAAATTTTCGTATTTATTTTATTAAATAAAATTTTTATTATTTTGTATATTGATGATCGATACATAAAATTTATTCCATAAATAATTAAGAAAAAAGTTTACATTAAACATAAAAGGTCTATTTATTAAAATCTTACAGATATCGCTTTTTAGCGTTTGACTTTGATGAAATTGTAGAAGAAACAAAGGATAATTGCAGATTACTATTGATTCGACTGAAGATGGAAGGCTGGGTATTGGGGAAAACGAAAGTGTTCCTAAAATATTACAATGAAGAATTCTTGTCAAGGTAATTTTATAATTTACGTAGCATACAGAGCAATTAGTAAAGACATATTCTTTTGACAAATACATGTTTTTTAACAGGTTATATGAAACACAAGTGAAGAAAATCATAAAGGTGCAGTGCATGATGCGAGCATATTTAGCCAGAAGGAAAACTGTAAAAAATAAAGCCAAAATATTGCACAGTAAGTATTAATTACATACTTATTATATACATATTTTTTATTAATTAGTCTACGTGTAAACTTTCAATATGATAAATTACAATAAATAATATTTACTTTCCAGTAAAAGAAATAAAGAAACAACAATCATTGAATGTATCTGAAGATGAAGCTGCACTATTAATACAAAAAGGTAGATTATATCATCTTATTTCATAATCATCTGATATGTATCCTTAGATACCAAATATCTACAAGTATTTTACATAATATAACCTGTTTCCTGTAGATATTCATACAAATTATACTTACCTATACTTCTTTATACTGTATCTCCAGAAAACAAAGTATATAACATAATAAATACCTCAAAGAATAAAGGCAGGAACATATTATATGATTATTTATTTATCAACGTCTCAGACGCAATAAATATATAATATAAATGCAATTTATATTTCAGCATATCGTGGTTATATAGTACGAAAGGCATACGGTCCGCTTATAAACAAAAGTACAGGTCAAATAGACGAGGAAACAGCGAGATTTCTCAAGAGGTTTGCCATGAAATGGAAAAGCAGATCTATATTTCAGGTTTTGCTACAATACAGAGCAATTCGTTACCAAGACTTAGTTCATTTTTCGCAACAGGTAATAAAATATATGCTTACGAGATTATCACGTAATCACAATAATTATCTAGTATTGATTCTGTAGTATAGCCGTATGCTCCCAGCATAGAAAAGGTTACCCCTTCTTTTCTCTTGGGTGTCGTAATAGGCGCCTATAGAAGGGCGAGGGATGGACAGCAGCATCCCTCTTAAAACATATGCAAAACCTAAGTGCGGTTGCCAATCCGCCTGCCAAGCGTGGCAACTATTGGCAAAGCCCCTCGAGGGGGGAGGCTTATATTTAGCAACAGTTAAACGCTGATAGGATAGGATTGATTCTGAAATACCACATGTTATGTGAAACCAAATTACGAACATGTAGGAGTCAAAACTAGAACACTAAAACAGAAACCAATATACGAGGTCTGTCCGGAAAGTTCGTATAAAAGTGTTCTGGAATGCGAGAAAGAGGAGTGGGGAGGCCAGGTAAGCGCAGGACCCCTTCCTTATGTCCCTAACAATGCTTCAGTTCTGGTCTGACCGCCGTGCGGTGCGAACTGGCTTGTCACGCCATCTGTGAAGTTACCTCTTAACGAAACCCCGTCGGCATGGAGCCCGCTTCCGTTGAAGAGCAGCGCGTCGTAATCAAGTTTCTCTCGAAACTCGGCAAGAATGGCCGTGAAATTTTTGCCGATCTCAGAACAGTAAAATCCCAAAGCAAAGAGTGGAAGACATCCGGGGAACCACGAACAAAAAAATCAAGAAAATCCCGCTCAAATGTCAAGACAATGTTGATTGTTTTTTTCGATGTTCGGGGGATTGTCCATCAAGAATTCGTCCCTCCAGGCCAGACAGTTGATGGAAAATTCTACGTCGATGTGCTCAGACGCCTCAAAGCTCGTGTGGCACGAGTTCGTCCAGAATTGGCGCGAGAGGGGCGTTGGATTCTTCACCACGACAATGCCCCTGCCCACACCTCTCTTGTTGTCCGTGAGTTTTTGAGTAAAAATTCCATTACGGTGACCGAACACCCCCCCTATTCGCCGGATTTGGCCCCGTGTGACTTCTTCTTGTTCCCAAAAACCAAATTGGTACTTCGGGGGCGGCATTTGGGGGACATAAATGAGATAAAAAAAGCTACGACGGGGCAGCTGAGAAACCTACAACCAGAGGACTTTCAAGGAGCCTTCTCACAGTGGAAACGGCGTTGGCACAAGTGCATTATGTCACAGGGGGAGTACTTTGAAGGGGATAAAATTGATTTACCTGAATAATTGTAAAATAAAATTTTTAAAAAACTTTTATACGTACTTTCCGGACAAACCTCGTAGAGTTTGGCTAAGAATTAAATCTAGGACTTCATTTATGCGAAGCAACACATTTACTACTACGTTACAGCTATTCTCTGAAGACTAAATACCAAATACGGATGGCAAAATTATATTTGTCGTAAATGTTACTTGTTCATGTGATATAAATTAATTACCACATAGACAGCACCTTCCTGTAATAATTCCAATCATAATACAGGTGCATATCTACAACCAAGCTGTATTAGAAGCTCTTCTGACTACCAGCACATCAGTACTATTGGACAGAGTCAATCCCCAAACAAAGGAATGTGACTTTCTAGGATCTGGGCCACCGACAGTCTGGAAGCTGCCATTTCGTATCGACCAACTGCAGTATTATGACACATCGTACATGTGCGATCCTACAGCTAAATGCACGTAAGTAATATTAATTAATCTACTAGTGCAATTTAAAGAACAAAATTTTCTATATCTCCGGGCAACGATAATAAAATGTCTGAATGACTGTCTTAACAAGTTTTTTATTTTATTCGTGTTTCAACCACCAAGTAAGACTCAAGTCACAAAGTACCTGCCTGTATTTTCATTAGAAAAGTGAGATATGGCATGGCAGCTCAATTATTAGATGCCGGAGACAAGACCCTAGTTTTCAGGAATGATAGACATGGGGAATGCGTAGTCACAATGTTTAATGCTCATAGTGCTTGCTGTTCTTACCACTTTAAATCAATAAACTGACAAATTGTTTATCATTTTATATCTAATAGTACAAATCATTTTGTCATCACAAAGACTAGTGTGGATGTAGTGTAAATAAGAAAATTTTAAATTTTGGTATTAAAACTTTTCTAAGTTCTAATTGACCTTACAGTTGCGTACCTTTACCTAAATTGAAGAACGAAAGAACATCATAATTACAAAAAGTGTTCGCGAATGCAGTTGAGCATCTAAAGTATCTTCTTATCCATATCGTATTGTTTACATTATTTTTCTACTACGGATCAAACATGTTTGGTCTAAATCCATCTTCTTAATTTTGATTTTAAAGCCAAACCCAAACCGAAAAGTACACAGAATAAACTTAGGTTTCCATGTATATTAATATTTCGTATTCATCACAATGTAAAATAATTATTTCTTATTATAGCGACACATTTGCCAGTCAATACGATTCCGACCACGAACAGTGGGACGAACCGTTGAAACGGCGATTTAGTTCAGCACAACCCGAGGTCACTGTGACATCTACAAGCACACAGACGCTCATGACCGTCCCATTCTGCAGAGACCCCACACAACCTGTGCCAAAGTTACCAGCCGATGAACCAGCCAAACCTTCAGTTACTAACCAAGCGAGTAAAGACAGTCACTACTCCCGACCTACTGTATATAAAAAGAAGCCAAGCCATTCTCAAGCTTATTACCAACCGCCCGAGCCTTGGATTAAACCACGCGACGACACGGATATCCTGGAAGACAGCGCTCCGAGATTACGTAAAACAAATTACAGTAGAAGCTTATACAGCATTGATGCTCCTAACATGGAAAATCCTATTAAAGAGTTGCAGGCTTTAGCGAAATCAACCAGTGATATGAACGATGATGATCCACCGTTTAATTTTCAAGCAATGCTAAAGAAGACACCACGGAACAGAGCATCTATGAAAAGGTCTGGTGAAATGGATAATGGCATTACAGAAGAGAAAATACCGCAAACGAAAATTGGTAAAGGTATTTGTGCGTCTAAAGTTTCACCTATGCCATCTGGTAAAACGACTCCAGTTAGTGGTAAAGCCAGTCCAGCACCTCAACGACCAAGCAGTAGAGACTTGATCAGAAAAGATTCTAAAGATCTAATCATATCAGTCTTAAAAAAGAGAGATTCCAAAACGGATCTGATTTGCAACATTGATAATAACAAATTTGAAAACGAAATAGTTGAATTAGCTCCAGGGATCACCGTTGAAGGAACTGTTACGGATTTATAAAAAAACAATTGTTATTTTGTAAAAAATATATATTTATTTTCCATTGCTTGGAAGTCCAAATACGTGCTTTTTAAATATTATGGCGTAATTATTATTAATAATTTTAGACAATTAAGTTTTTAAAGCCATACATTTTACGTTAAGTCATAAGAATTTATTGTTATTTTTAATGTGTTTATATATAATGGTTTGGTATCTCAACGAGTTAAGTATATTGGATATAAAGATGCTCGTTATTCGAAATATGGCGTAATGTAAGATTTACACACAGTTTACCTTAATAATATAATATCTTAGGGATTCATCACTTCATATAAAAATATATCAATTTTTTATCCATCTAAACGTACCTAAATCAAACATTGCTTTGGTAACTTATCATTTACTTAAACTACTAGAGAGAGTGGTCATATTATAATATTATGGTATCTTAATATAAAGTGGAATTATGTGGTCCATTCAAATCTATTTAAAAGATGGGTGGGATAAAAAAAAAATCATTTGTTTCTTTATATAACTACATTCTTTGTAATAATATACTTGTATTTTCATGCATTATTTTACTATAAGAATCCGAGTATAATTTACATAGTAAATTTAAATATTTTTATTACTATCTGATAATGTACTTTTCAATAGGTGATAGAATTTTTAAAATAAGTTGAATAGTTCTTAAATTTATCTATTACAAACAAACAATTAAATCTTTTCTCTTTATAATATTAGTGTAGATTTATATGATCTTTGAGTACAAGTTTCTAAAAAAATATCAGTTAGTAATCAATATTTGAATATTTCTAAAACAAATCACACGGCAAATTAATTTTAATAATCAGACCTTAATAATTTTTATGTCCACCCATCTTATTAATAGCCATATGTATTGTTGTTTACATATTTTGCATTTTCCTGTTCCATTGAAGCTCTACAATCATTTGTACAGTTCGATATGTTATTCATAAGAAACTCCGTTAAAAACAAATTGTATTACATATTAATTTACATATTCAATTATGATAATATAATTTCAAACTGTTTATTAGAATCACAAAGTCACAACTGCCTTATTATTGTATTCTTGCATTGAAATAATACAAAATATATTTAGTACAATAAGTTAGAAAAATATACCATTTTATTCCCATGATTTGTCTCATTATTTCATTAATCTCTTTTACAATATATGTTTTAGAATTTATCATAATATATAATATATAAAATATTCACCAATCCATAATTTAAATATAAACTTTCTTTTAGCAGTATCAATCACATCTTAATATTATTGCCAAATATCATAATAATTGACTTAAAACTAGCCTTATTAGAATAATCTAAAAGCATATAAAAATATCAGCATATTTTTTTTTTTAATCTAGACATATCTTAAGCTCTATGAATTCAGTCAATATTTTTTTCTGTCATACCACATAAAACATCTTAATCGAATTTGAAACTTCCTTTCTTACTAAGAACATATAAAGCATTGAGAAATTTTCTGTCATTTATAATTTTTTATTTTTCCTTATATTATTTCCAATTTATTCTACAGTTATCTAAAAACTGTCTGTATGTAATATAACGAAAGAAACAAAAAAAATCTTTATAATTATAGTATTTGAAGTGGACGTTTGATATTATTTGCTTAACTTTTAAAGTTGTGACCACAGGTTATAAAACTTGCCAGATTTACCTATATCGATCTTTAGCAAACATGTCTTCATTTCAGAAAATCGTTAATATACCTCCAATTTTTAACTGAAATATCAAAGTAAAACTCATTTGAGATAAAATATGGTTAAAAATAATTGATAAAGTAACAGCTATTATTAACGTTTAGAATTAATTTAATTAATATTTTGCTCAATACGTAAATAATAAATAACTAGGACAAAAAATAAAGTTAGATGATAAAAATAAAAAAAAAATATGTGCACCCCATTATCACCCAAAAAAATTTAACGACGTTATTTTCATTATTTGATGCGGTATTTTGTCCCACAATACCTACTAATAATAATAAAAATCAATCAATATAAAAAAGAAAGACTGACAAATTGAGAGAATATATTGTAGCATAATACCAACCGGTATTATTGAATCAAAAATTCGAACATATTCTTTTTTGGAAGTAGATTAATAATAAAAAAAAATTGCACTCGACAGCAACACGTCACCATACAGCGCTTCAATTTTTTTTTATTTTAATTATTAATAAAATCGTGTGATTATTGAATAACAGCCAGTGAGTCTGAGTCTCTTCGGGGTTGCCCAACTAGTTCCGAACTCTATCACTGATCGTGAGCTGTGCTTAGAAAATCTTCAATCAAGTCCAAATCCAATTAGGCAACCCTGTTGTATCAAGTATTATGTAGATTTTACTGTTATATCCCGCCATATAACGCCAATATACATATATAATATTCCAAAATATTTCGAAAAGTAACAACTAAAATAATCATTATAAACAGATTATGTTCTACTGTTCTCAGATAAATTACATAAATTTAATTGTATTGTGAAAAATTTTGTAAACTCACATTATATTTTAATGTAATAACTATCGGTTTAACTTACATGTCATTAGATCAAGAATGCTCGATTAGTATTGGGATCAATTTGTGACCCTTAATCATGACGCAGTGACGCGAGTCAGTCAGGCTCGCGCTCGCATTATTATTGCATTAAAATGAATTCAACTGGTGATCTATTCTACATGTCTAGATGGCTAAATCTAAAAAAAAATAGTAAAGCTAGAAAATATCTAAACTTGTTACAATTAAAAGTAAATCAACAAAATGTTTATATACTATTTAGTATTATAATAAGTGGGATAATTAAAATAATTAATTTAGTAAATTAACCAAACTCCTTACTTGAGATCATCACATCTTATCATATAAAAGACAAAGTATTTTTACAGCATAAACTATGAATTGAGTGTTGGAAACGAGATTCCGATACATAGTGTTTGAGATATAGAATTCTAGTAAAGCACAATCCCTCCTAGACAAGTGGCAAAGGAATCGCATGTGCGCATGAGATAGAGCGAGATAGTAAATTCCGACGTATTATTATCTCTCACACTTACGTTAAACGAAACGTATCTATCCCAAAATTTATTTGCCAAATGACTAGGGGATGGCTGGAAAGTTAAAAAAAATTACTTAATCAGAAACCGATTAATTATGTATAACCCGCCGACGAAAACATACTAATACGTTAATATTACGTCCTCAGCCCATGATGGCTATTAAACTTGGCAGGTTATACAAAATAAATAGGCATTGCCAGTAGGATTGGACCAGTGAATGGCTCAATCCAAAACAAAAAAAAAATACGAATATAAAAAACAAAAAACCAGTATTCGATTTTTGAAAAAACAGTTGTGCTAACAAGCAATTATAATTTTTTAAAAACAAACTGTCCCTATTACACCAGCTGAGAACATTCATAAAATTCTGAAATTTTAAGTTGAAAATATGCTTTTACTGACTGAGTGAATCAGTTGATATGAATATAACTCTGGACAAATATGTCTTTTTAAATGAACCTACATATTATTAATCCCCTTAACATATATTTTACAATGAAGTGCACAAAGAAAACAAGTGTTTATTACTGACCTTGTTGTGTGAATACAATTAATGCCGACACTGGCCAAGCGGTGATTTTATAAATTATGCAATAGTGATAAAAAAACTTAAATAAATATCATTATCACGAGGACCAGATATCTCACTATATAAGACAGATTACTTGGTAATATTACAATTGTTTATACTATTTTAATTATATTAATAGTGTCAAAACGATATATTATTCATAGAATCAGTAAAGTTGATTAGTATTGTATTATGCTGACTGCTATAGTTAGCAGTTGCTAAATAACGTCGATAAAAAATACCACATTTAATGTGGAATGACTTCACTCAATGTTATATAATTTTGACTTTCTAAAGAAAATAAGTTACTCTCGTCCTACTTAATAATGCAAGGCCACGCTGCATACTGAAATGCCACTGTGTATACGACACCATTTTGCATATTGCAACGTAACTTAATACAATTACGGAATCAGTAGTACAATCATTCATATATAGCATGAAGCCATTTAAAAGAAATACAGATTTCTCGTATATTGCCAAAAAAAAACGATACTCAGTGTGATGCACTTTATTTTGCAACAAAATGTACGCCGTTGTATGAAGATGCATTTAATATTCAGATATCGTGAGCATGCACGGAACGATTGTATCATAGAAGGAATGACAATGGTCGATTTTATGATTAATTTTAATTTCTCAGGAAAATGTAAATTTTCCTTAGACGATTCTTCTATACCGATTTCGTGGATATACATGGAAAATTAAAAGCGTATCTTCATACAATTGCATGTATTTTTATTTGTTATTTTATCATAAAATCGTACGATGAAATGCTACGATATATATGAAATTATAAAATCGCCTTACAGAATTAAGAAGTATGTCATGTACAACTATAATGGCTCGATATATAATATCACACTGAAAATATCAAAATACTACTTTTTGAAAGGCAATTTCAATAAAAGCTTAATTTCCAAAAGACTAGATTGGTGCATGAAAATGTAGATAGAAGAATTTTAGAAGAAAACGTAAATAACCAATAAGAAACATGTACAAAATTTCCCAGATCTATTAAATACTATTTAGTTATCCAAGTAAAGATTGTAAAATATTACAGTATGTTTGACATTACAGATCTGTCTGTGTATTGTCACATTATAGATAAACGATTGCCTTAAAAGCGGTCATAACTTTAGTTTACAGAAATATGGGAACATCGTCAATTTAAAAAAAAACATTTTTCAATATTTCTGATTAATTATTTAAAAATAATTTAAAAAGCGAACTAAAACGTTAGTCATAGAATATGTTGCATATAAATTTACCAAAAAAAAAAACTTTGCACCTACTTCATATTTTGCTTTGGAATTTTTCAAACACATTATTTCCACTCGAATCTAAATTTTCAGTGGTATTTTTATAACATAGTTTAAGTCAATTGTTACTAACAAGAATGGATCTTTGTTATCTATAAAGAAATATTATTATTATTATAGGAATATGATTGCATAATTAACGTTCGCTAGCAGAGACCTTTTTAGACTAGTCAAAAACACTGAAAAATATTAAACACTTTCTGAAAATTTACAAATTTATTTATGCTATTGTGTATACACTTTTAATATAGAAATTAGGTTATAACAAAAATGTACACCAATGGACTTATCCCTTAAAGGGATTACATTTCTGTGAGAAAGAAGAAAGATAATAGCAATAACAATAGATAATTGCATCATTGCTACACTTCGACAAGCTAAAGTTACGAACGCTCTTAAGTCACCTTAAAACCAACAGATTGCTAGCGTGATTGTTATTATTTAGAAAACCTCAAAAAGAAGCTCTAAATTCATTCATCGATTCATGATTCACTTGGCATTCCCGCAAAACCTTCTTAACATTAAATGCCTCAAAAAGGCTAAAACTCACTCAAAATAAATGCACACTGCATTCAAATATCAATAGCAAACCTAATTACTCTTCTCGGTATTCGTACCTTCAGCCATACCAACTTGGCCCAACAATTGTGCCACGCTGGGCTCGTTGAGGGTGAGGACAGCATGAGCTTCCACCATCACGACTAGAGAGTTGCGAGCTTCCTCGTGTGGTACTCCGTGGGCGCGAGTGGCGTGTGTGTACCAAGCTCCAGTCGAAGCCAGCACTGAGACACACCATTTACAGGATAACCTTAAAACAAATAAACTGCTATTAATATCATTATATACATCTAGCGATCACACATCCTCGGCTTCGCACAATACAATTTTGATGTATCTCTTAAAATTTAACCAGCGCAAGCCATACAAATTTAGTGACATTATTACAAAATAAAAATTAATGTATCTACTTGTACAAAATTTTAGTTAGGATACATACTAACTTCTGTAAAAATAATCTAAATAACAGTGAAATTCGTATCAAAATCCATTGCCTGCTTGAGAAGAAATAAGAAAAAGACAAATGTAGACAGCGATATTGTTTATACTTTTAAGGTCCATTAGTTGTCACACTTGGCAGTCGAGTTGGCAATCGCAATTAGGCTTTGGTGATGTTTTATGAGAGACACTGCTACCCATCCCTCAAACATTAAGTTTCCTTAGTCGTTCTTACGACACCCACGGGAAAGTTTGGAACCCACCACACACCTATTTGGAATCTTGACATTCATTAAAATGTATGTCAGGATTCCAAAGTATCCTGTATAATTAATGATTATATCCCACAAAAAACCGCCCTCAAATAAGATAAAACCAGTAATTTTAATCGAAAAACTAAACTACTGATCAGATTAAATAAAAACTGAACCAGAGGGAGATTTTACACAAAAGTCGTTTGTTTGAGTACCTTTGTTTCACTCGTATTTCTACCGTGAAGAACTTGTGTTTGCATAGCTGTTTCGGTTTGACAGATGGATGACAGAGAATTTACAAGGTACAAAGGAATACCAGCTTACTACTAGGAATGGCAACGCATGCGGAGGGGGGTTATTATGGACCAAAGAGTAGACTGTTATGATGATACTGTTCATGTCTGTAGGCGACCGTTACAACTTTCCATAAGGTAAGCCATCAGCTTGTTTGCCCTTCTAGACTGAAAAAGTCATAAAATTTCTATAGAACCAATGTGTAAGTATATTCTTACAAATAAAAAAAATAACCCCTTTCCTCCCAACTGACTGAAATGAAATAGTATATACATTACCTATTTGTCATATGCCTGGACTTTACATGTCTCCTTCTATAACCCCAACTATTGTAGACACGAGGACAAAAGGGGCATGGAAATGATGGGTTTGCATAGCAAGTGTTTTTATCTGAAAAATTAATTTTGTTCAAAATTAATTGATGATATTTATTTCCTACTATCTATATGTATAACGATGGTTAACCGTAGATAGCTCCTAACACAACTAACGTAAACAAAATTTTACAGCATAGACACAAAACATTCTATTTATAAATTTATCCTAAATGCAATGAAATCCAAAACAAAATAGTTGGTTCTAATATCAATTCTTAATATATTGATAAAAAAATACTTTCTCACTGTAACATAGAAATGTAGAAAATTTATTTAATAAATATACAACTGTGAGTACTGTAAAATTATTTTAAACTTTTTAAATATTATAGGTAAGAGTTGTAATTTAACCTAAATTACTGAGTAGAAGGGTTCACCATAATGACTAGTCTCATTAAAAACACAACACTGCATTTTTTTATAGCTTTATCATCATCTTCCTACCCTTATCCCAATCATTTGGGGTCGGCGTAATATGATTTTATCCATATTACAAAAAGATTTGGTTTTTAGTTCTACGACCGGCCACCTGCCTGATGTCAACCCTCTTTGGGAATGCATTTGTTGGTGGTTTCCGCCACCTACGGCTTATTAGAATAGCTTTATATCTCTTGAATTTCAATTTATAAATTTACATAGTAATGATAATATTATATTGTGAATAATAAATTCAATATAATAAAGATTTTATGATGGCTTATTTAATTGTATTTTAGTTTGAAGGGTACAAAATGGTACCCAATTACGTACTATAGAGACTAAAGCTAGTTTTTAGGAATAGTATATTTGCTCTTCTAGTTTGTTTATATTACAAGCCACAATTAAGAGTCCATCAAATAGGATTGTCTACTTGGTTAATATTTCAAAATAATATTCTTATTACTTTAAAACCCTATCAATGTTTTATTATGCAAGTTGATAAAATTAGTAACAACCTCTTTGTTTTCTACATTAGGATGTCACTAATTTCAACTACACACAAATTTAACAAATTAAATTATTAAGACAATTATAGTATGCTAACTATACCTTGCAGCTCTGCCTGCATGAATCGGTGCATAATGTATCTATTCTACATGCTAAGTTATGATATGACCTATCATGTATCAAATATTATTTCAATGCGTTCAGTAGTTATCACGTAAAAAATAACAATCATCCATCTTTTAATAATAATAATTAACATTTATAATATTAATAGGATTGTAATATTTTCTTTTAAATAACATACCTTTACATATCTGAGCTTCACTGGAAATAGAATTTAGATTTTCTGTCGTTATACTCAATGATTCAACTATTGTGCCACTTTGCAGTACAGTTTCAACTTCCTTATCAATCTCGATACTATCCTTATCATCATCGTTAGAATCAATTCCATTGATTTTCTCATTGCCTATATTTAAACAGGGCTGTGTACTACTTACTTCATTTATCCATTTTTTAACATTACGATCATTGCCCGACATACATATTGATTTGTTGGAGAATGTGTCCGAGTTTATGGAATATTTTCTTTCAAGGTTGTCCTCAAGTAAAGCTATGTCAGTGTCATTTGTATTCTCCCCAGAGTAATCTGTTAGTGGGGAATCTATGGGTTCTACTTTTGGTACAATATTCTGAAAATACAATTTCAAAACTAATAAATATGAAATATTATCATTTTCATGTTACAAGTTAAAATAAGAATATTTGCTTATTTTTGATGGGAACCAGACATTAAATGAATAAAATTTAACATCATGTATTGTGAGTTCACAGCAGCTTTAAGTTAATGAAATGCTTTGAATCCAAAAATAAAAATTACTAAATCTATTTTAATTATTCAAAACAGCCTCTATATTAAACTCCGTAAACTCATAGTTTAAAAAGTTTAACTTTAAAACATTAATGAAAAGGCAAACAAAAATTATAAAAAGGGAAATAATTTTTTTCATCACCATCATTTTTGCCATTTATTCATACAAATAAATGTTATATTGTAACATTCACATTTTTTACGACATTTTTATAAACCTTCAGTATTTACCCAATGGTTAGCTAATAAAGAATGTTATATGGCATTAAGCTTACCACTTGTACAATTTTTTTTTTGTACAATGAAGAATAATAATATATACTTTATTATTCAGACTTAATAATAATAATAATTAAGTAAATAATAAAATAAAATACAGTAGATAGAATGAAATTCAAGTCAATAGAAGCAGGAAGGTCAGGAAAATAATAGTTACAAGTCAAAACAATTCTTATTAGCTGTCTAAAGAGAAGATCAATTCAGAAATAGACATTAAATAGTTGGATAAGGAAAAGAAGTAAAAAAAAACTTACAGAATTTTGGATAAGATCTGAACTAGCACTAAGATTGATCACAGCATCACTTTTAGGGGTGGGCGCAGACTTTTTACTTCTATTATTGTTGTCTTCATGTTCACTTTTCTTGCGTTTCTTTGCTTGTGTTGAAGGTACAATTTTCTATAAATACATAGTATGTATGAATTGATCAGTATCTTAACAAGAATATATATTGAATAGTAAATGTAACAATCTAATAATAACAATTTATAAATTGCAATTTTTTATTATTATTATTATTACATTAATGTAAATTTTATATCTTATCTACCCAAATAATAATATTGGTAGATAAGATAAAATATAAATAAAAAAATAGGGGTTTAATTTATTCTAATGATATTTATTTATTCTTGACATAGGAGAACCTGTTGAACCTTGGCACTATATGTACCTAGGCCACTTAGGTCTTTTCAAATGTTCTCATGCTATTATATTATTTTGCCTTTGGTGTGCCGTACATCATTACAGACTATCTAATGTGAAGTTAGTCACTTGCCACCATTGATCATGTGTATGGTTTTATCGGGAGAAAGTTTTTTTTTTATGAAAAGGTAAGTATGTTTAATATATTTTGATGCCTGCTATTTCTATATGTTTTTATTGGTCACTTAACTTTTATATGCAATTAATTCTTTGATTTTTAAGCCTTAAAACAATAATAATCTTACGAGATATATAATCTCCAAACACTTTAAATCAGCAGTTTTCAACAACCACTAACCAATGTTGTACCTTGGCCACTGTCGATGACTTGTACCTTGGTCAGTTTCCTAAGTAACTAAGTACAAACTGGATGTTGTACTTTGACTAGAAGGATGTATTTTTATTTATTTCATATTCTAATATTAAATTATTAATGATATATATTTAACATTATAAAAGTCATGTCTAGAAGTAAAGAAAATAAAAAGAGAATGCCTATTAATATGGATAATATGTCAAATGCAATTAAAATGTTATTTTTATTTACAAAGGAAGTTTTATGAGAAAGATGCTGGTAGAATCGATACAAAAGTTTCTCAAAAACAGGAAGAAGCCTAATAGAGAGGATATAAATCTGTATCTGATAAGTGACATTAAAAAAAAAATAAAACTCCTAAAAATTTATAATGTGTGTACCTGTTTAATATACATTTTCTTTATATTTTGTTTCAATGTACCTATGTTTATGTACCTACTAGTCCTAATGCCTATCATATGACAAAAGTTATGATTAAATGAATAAAAAAAAGTTGTTTGTGTATAAAGATGTAGTTTCTTAAGTGAAAAAAAAAAAAACTGTGAACGTTATGTTTGTTCCTTTAAAATTTTCCAATTTATATATTTTACTAGGCCTAATAAAACAATTTTGATAGAGCAAAGTTAATACTTTTCTAAAATACCATCTGGATGAGTGGTGGTATTTCACATGTGTGTTTTCGAGACACTTTCTTCCACACTCAACCACTTTTTGGAATCAACTTCCAGCAGCAGTATTTCTGAACCGATATGACAAAGTAACCTTCAAGAAAAGAGCATATTCCTTTTCACTCACCATCAGGTGAGCCGCATACTCGTTTGCCCCTGTGTTGTATAAAAAAAAATGCCTAAGTTTTATCCTCAAATCGTCAACGTATTCTAGGTACAACATGGTCCTGGCCGAGGTACATAGGGTATATACAATTGAGCTAATTTGCAATTTTTTTTTAACATCTTAAACTTTAAAGATAGATACTCAAGTAACTTACCTTTCAAAATATGTAAATGTAGTTTATGTCCTATAAGTATAAGCAGTATAAAAAAGTCAAATTACAGAAAAAAATATTTTTCAAAAAAATTGTCCTAGGTATGATTTTTACATACCAGTATTTTGGTGAAACATGTAGCTCAAAGTACACACAACTAAATATCTAATGTAACCATTTTTAATGCAAATAAAGAAATTGAATCAGAATTTTAGCAATTTTCTAAACACCAAAAAGCACTAATTGGAAACATTTGAACTTTGAAAGTTGGTGCTTTTTATCAATTTATTAGACTATTTATATAATCTGTTTCAATAGAATTTAATGAAAAGAGAACCATGTTTTATCGAAATTACCACACAAAATTAGTAACAAATTGAAACATTAAAAACAAAAATTCAATTTTTTTATTTGTGTAGTACAAAAGTTGTTAAACATCAGACTGTCTTATAGTCAGGCCAATTATTATGGTTAATTATGAAACAAACTATACAAATAAATATAATACTAACCTCGTCATCCCGCGTCGCTTCGCTGCCTGTAGACAAACCACAGATCCTCAATGTCTCTGCTGTCTTTAACAAAACCGGCAAAAATTCCTCAGTAACATTCACCTCACCATTGTACATAAACGTCAACAGGGTCCTCAAGGATGCAGCGTTAATATCGTGAAGGACTATAATTGGATCCTTGTGGGGGTTTTGCTGTAAAAAAAGTGCGTGGGTGTCAGGACGCAATACAGACAACAATTCAAAAGTAGAAATACAAATATTAATAGCTATTATATAGACCTTACCTGAAATATAGACCTGAAAACAGAACTGTTTGCGGATAGTATCACTTTGTGAGCCTTAAAATTGAGACCCTCGGAAACCAACGTCACATCAGATAAACCTTCGTCTTTATAGAGTTCTTTCACGTTTGTTAATATATTATTTTGATAGCCATTCCATTTGAGACTTATCTCCTGATTTGCCATATTTATTTGTTACACGGACATTCAGGATAATTATTAAATTAAAAGAAGAAATGAAATACAAACAAAACGTAACGCAAAGTAAACGTTTGACAGATAATAATGTCAGTGTTGCCTGTTGAAATTTTCATGCCCGAAAAAGATATAAACCTCTTGAAAATACCCAAATAGGTATAACCTAATAGTTATTGTAATGGTACAAAATAAATACGTTATACTAATTCTATGGGTACAATTGTCTTGAAAGAGATATCATGCAATCCATAAGTATATTATACTGAGTCTATGATGCAAATACTGCACAACAGTTCGTGAATGATTGCTAATTAAAAAAAAAATTAAACTACTGTATAATTAAAATACACTTTTCTGCAATAAATAGAGCCATTTGCGATCTAATAGTTAAATAAAAAAATAATTTATAATAATACTTTTAGTTTGTAAATTGCTCTGCAGAGGCAGCACTAACGAATATAAAAAATATTGAAAATTAATTTTAAAAGCAAATATGGCACATTTTTCGATATCACAATTCGTCTCAGAGTTATATATTTGTTAATTCCTATATATGCTATAGGGAATTATTTCCTGAAGAAATGTAGCATAATACAAAACAAGTCATCACAACGTTATATAGCAAAGGTTAAGAATAATACAGACTACAGGTACTATTCACGATATCTATGCTTCCCGATTTTCATTTAATTGAAATATTGGGTCGATTCTGAGGCACTATTTCTCTAAACCGATCTTTTAACCTAATATTTTGGGGAGGAAAGAAATTGTTGGTAATACGGGCTACCGTGTTGCAAGCAATATACCCTGCCAGGTCGATTCCTACGTAATCCTTGCTGGAAACCATCATGTTAAATTCCAGGTGTATTCATCACGATGGGTTAACTGACCTGCCTTTTTATTCTCATCTACAATCCCTCACTGGTTCCTCGCCAGCGTATACCGTTAGCGCAGGTAGGGTTACCATTTCATTATCATCCATTAACAAAGAAAAAAGAAAACCTAATATTTTAATTTAATAATTTCATAAAATTACTGTGTTATAGACCATCATTAAGAAAAATTTTAATAACTTTCGCTTAAATCTTTGACAAAATTAATTCATTTTGGCCCATATAATAAAAAATTCGCTGTGACATCAAATTGAAATATTAATATTAGAAAGATTTAAAGAAAAAAGGCCTCATAGTCGACCCCATTACCTACTTTAACTTCGCGCCAAAATGAAAGCCAGGCGTATTAAATAGTGAGGATATTTTGTACAAACACACCCAGATCATAGAATAGTAGACGACTTTTTTGAAGCATTCTTCTGGTAGGTAGGTAGTTCAAAACATATTGTAATATTTCAACTTAATTAGGTATGTTGTTTTTTGATGAACTGAAAATAATATGGTTACCCCAACTACACTATATACATTGGCGAAATACAAGTTCTTCAAATACCTAGTCTACGCAGGATAGCTACCAGTAAGTAATAGCAGATGAGGACGGATTGAAGGCAGTGGACTCTTCGTGGCGACTTTAGCAGAGATTTACCTAGATTAGCGTGAGCGCCGAACGGACAACAATAGGCTGCAAGTAACAATGTATTAATTTACCTGAAGATACCTCGTCCAGAGGTGTAAAACATATTGCAACATATATATATATATAGAGTAAATAACGGCCAGAGATTGGTGTTTAATAGGAAAAGTTATAGAGCTTCTTCAAAAATTGTAGATTGACAAACTCAAATGTTGGTAGTCGCACGCATACTATTAGAAGCGGAATTAACAAAATTATCAACTGACCACGATGGTTTTTAGAGGTGACAGTGCAGAGGTCGATCAGATAAGATATATTCTTAGCAATGGAAATATTAGATCCTACAGTCACTAAAAGTCTCCCTAAAAAAGACAAGGAGTAGCGACAACATGTACGTATTCCTCCGTCACTATACGAAAAATACCATTGATCTAGATCAGGCGACCCACCTAGTATTAAATATTTCACGAACCCCGACTCTTCCCTTTTTTTCAAGCAAAATTATTTTCTTTATACAAGAAAAAATCTTGCCCCAAGAAAATAATTTTGATGAATTTGATTGTTTTACATTAAGACAAAAAAATCTTGAATCAAGTAGAGTTCATTGAAACTAAGAACTTGATTCAAAAATCCTTTTTTTTTATCCAAAATAATCAAATTCTTTAAAATTACTTTCTTGGGTCAAGTTAATTTTTTTATGTGTGTATAGATAAGTCATAGGTTTTTATTTTTTTTATTAAGTTGTAAGAACGTACACATGTTTTATCATTATTCTTAATAAATCTATCTTCATAACTTTGTTTTTTTTTACTGAGGTAGTTTTCACGACCCCCAATAGAGGCTTGGCGACACCCAGAGGGTCGCGACCCACACGTTGTAAAACACTGATTTAAATCATTCGATGATTTATAAGAAACATTTCACTTCATAACTATTTTTTTATAATCTGTATAATCGATGATATGTATATACCTATAAGGTACCTACACAACATAATCTAACCTTGTAAATTATTGTAGTTACGAAAACTATTCTTATCTACTTAGAAATATTAACCTTGATGAATAATTAAAGATAACACCACCTGACTTTTAATTTGCCCTGAAGGTTTCCTATATCATTTTCCTGACCTTCTCTCTTATAATTTGTGAACGTTGTAGTAATAGTATACCATAACTTAATGGAATGGAAACGCTTTTATTTTTTTGTATATCAGAGGGAGACTTTTTACAAAAGTCGAAATAGTATACTCTGATATGTCCATGGTACTGTTCATGTCTATAGGCGACGGTTACCACTTTACAACAGGTGGGCCGTCAGCTTGTTTGCCATTCTAAGTTCTATAAAAAAAAAAAATTACTACCCGACTTAGAGATGAGCCAACATAACTATAGCCCAAGGCGGCAAAATTGAAAAATTGAAAACGACTTACGGCTACAAATAATGTGAGCACTCTGCTTATCCCACTATCGTTCGCATTACACGTTTTTTTTTTCATCCTCATCTTCCTGACCTTATCTCAATTAATTGACGTCGGTATATTGTTTCCTCTTCTCGTAAAGACAAACTTCAGTCCTACGAATAATGTACTGCTAATAAAACTTGCCAGGGGGGAAAGGGATTGTTAGTAATAGAGACTGAGAATCCTATTGCTGGCAATATACCCAACTAGGTCGACCTCCTCACGGTTCCCCTTGGAAACCATCATGGTTAATTCCTGATGAATTCATCGTAATAGACTAACTGGCCTGTTTTGGTTCTCATCGATCACCCTTCACTAGTGCCGCGCCAGCGTATCCCGTTACTGCAGGCTTACCGTTCCATTCCAGGGGTTACCATTCCATTTTCACCCATCAAAAAAAAAAAACTTGTGACGCCCCCTGCCAAGCGTGTACAACTGCGGGCAAAACTTCCCAAAAAGAAGGTCAGTGTTCAGAAGGAACAATTAATGGCTGATATAATGATGATAAATAGAGCTTATGTTAAAATAAGTGAGAAGAAAATTTCACTAGTGGCAACCTCGCCCAGGCAGACGCAGAGTGAGAAGCTCACTTGGAACGATGTCGTAGAATGTGCTTCAAAGAGTTACTAGATGCGAGAAGATAAGAACCGTTCTCTGTGACATTTTATCGCTGAACGAAATTAAACAAAATTTAATATATGTAGATATGAATCATATTCTAAAGTATCGTAGTGTTACACATAATGTAGGTATTTTTTTTTAATTGACCTAAACCTTTGGTTACAGGTAGTAAATAACAAAACTATGAGTAAATTCAAGTGTTTACTCTTCATGATTCAAATGATTAGCATTTTTAAGCAGTCTTATCAGAATATACACAAATAACCGGAATAAATAATATTACCTATCCCTAACTGTTAAGTTACGTAAGAAAAGCACTTCAGTAATCTTGAACATTATCAGAACAATGTTACCTTAGAAAATACTTGTTTCTAATTGTTAGTCGACAGCTCATATATTTCAGGAGACGCCGGCTTCTGTATAATTGCTGTTACAAAAATATATACCTAACTTATTAGGTAAATTTCATCATGCAATATAATTTTCAAGTTTACAGTACAATAGTATTACTTTTTTCTATACAATGTAATGCAGCTGATGACAATAATATTATTAATAGAGTCACAGACGCAGGAATACTAGAAGATGCTACTCTAGATACTGTAAGTAATTTTAAATTTAATTATTATAATATGAATTCTGTTGTCAGATCTAAATTATGCTATTTTTTATTGTTTATTGTACACAAATGAAATAAAGAATAGAATAATTTAAATCTCTCATTATATCGGTATAAATTATTTGTGGTATTATTTTATTTATATATTTATATATATTTTTATTTTATTTAAATTTAAGTAACAAAAAACACAAAAGTTGAAAAGTAAGAAATTTAATAAGTAGCCTTGATTATAACATACAGCGACAGAATCCTAAACTAAGTAGAAGTTATATTCTGGATAGATACTATATCAGTAAATGACATATTAGACATTGGTACTTCCACATTTTTTGTATATACGTATATCTTATAAATATTATAAAAGGGAAAGTTTGTAAGGATGGATGGATACTCACACAAAAAATACTGAACGGATTTAATTTAAATTTCGAACACGGGTTGATTATATCTTAGCAGATAGGATACTTTATATACTGATTCATGCGGGCAAAGCCGTTAGATAAAGCTAGTTATATAAAACAGAAAACTTATAATTGAAACGATACAAACAAAACACCTATTCATTTTCGAACTTGCAAACGTCAAATGGTGATGCAGTCCTTTGAGCCGCTGTACAATTCAATTACTGCAATTACATACCTTATAATAGTAGGATTAGTTTACTTTTATAATTTTTTTATCAAGTCAATAAGCTCAACCGGACAACGACTAACTGCGAATCTGGTGTCCCAAAACCGAATCCTAGCACAACTCTCTGGATTTTCGAACCATATTTGTATCATTCAAAAAAGAAATTATTGGCATTTGTTTTGTACTTCAGAAAGTGAATCCATCGTCCAGTAAGTCAAGTCAGAGACCATTATCTATAAACGAAGACGGTTTAGAAACTCAAAGGCGCCACTCAAATTCAAGAAACAAACGAATATTGTATAATATTCTTATCGTTGTTGCTGTCAAAGCATTTATTTGAGAATGAATATTAAAAAAAAAACGCCATAAATATATGGCTGCCAGTACGTTAGCAACAATCATATCAATTGCTGCAGTTACCATTATTTTTATTCATAATCTTTACATTCCAACAGTTTTCCCTCATTAGAAAATATGGCTATCCGTGTGAGATTCATCGCGTGTACACGGAGGACAAATATATATTGGAAATGCATAGAGTGCCCAATGGCAGAGATAACGTCACTCATGGTCCACGGCCTGTGGTGTTCCTTCAACACGGGTTACTATCGTCCTCCGCTGAATGGGTTCTAATGTTGCCTGGGAAAGGGTTTGGTAAGATTTCTTTAAATATCCTACTAATATTATATCTACCTATGTATTAATATTATAAAAGTTTAAATTTCTAAAGACCTTTAGAAGTTTTAGTTTACTCAATCACGATCAAACGGATTAAGAGATTTAAATGATAGTTACATTTAAACATCACCTAAAAAGACACTTCTTGCGAGAGCAGAAGTGTACATAGATCAGTATTTTATCATCATGTTTACTCGTAAGTAGGTGCCCACTCTGTCCAACTATGCTTTTATTCAATTTGGTTTAAATGGAGGATACCATATATGTATGATTGAATGGAAAATACTTATTTTTTCATATACATATATTTTATTATTTTTTTTAATGTTTTTAATTTTTTATATTTACAAATCGTTTTACATATATTATTGAATTTTATTGTTTCTATATAATTTATATTTCTATTGACACATATTATAAAGGTACATATCTTTGTTTAATGGCCTAGGTGCAGCGAAATAATCACTGGTTAGGCAGCACCTTCGTTAAATAAAATTGTACATTAATGTTCATAACGGTAGATACTATAATTATTACTTGTTAAATTGAGTTTTTTTTTTGCACTCAATGCATGAACACAGCCTCCCGCGTCGCTGATCTGATTGAACAGTAATAGTATGGCTAGGTTAGGTGATAGAACACTATATATTGCCATCTCATTTTTCTTTATTCTGTATATGTGTGTGAATGTGTATGTATGTGTATGTGTATATGTGTATGTATATGTGTATGTATGTGTATGTATGTATATATATATATATATATATATATATATATATATATATGTATGTGTATGTGTCTGTGTATGTACGTGTATGTGTATATGTATAATGTAGATTTGTATATGTATAGAATACCAACGCACTACTTATATAACTGTTTTTTACTTGTGACGCTATGGTTCTTGCTGAAAAACAGCGCTGTAGCGCTTCAAGCGCTGCAGCAATATGCTGAGCACGGACCTACATCACAGAACATTGCGACACACACGCGCGCACGCGTACATTATAATTTAATTGCTATCTATTTGTATATAATTATTATTTTCTTTTGTTTGTTTTGTTTTTGATTTCTTTTGTTTTTGTTTTGTGCGCTACTGTGTGGGCCGCATGTTTCTTTTGATTAAATTATTTCTTTCTTTCTTTCAAAAATTTGGAACACGGCTAGATTATAAGCTAATTTAACACACTGTATACTTTATATACTGATATACATGCGAGCAAAACCGCAAAATAGCTAGTGTATGACAATTATATAAGTATCACAGCAATTTGCTTTCTAGTCCTCAAACTAGGCTATAATGCGGAAATGTTCTTACGAGGAACAGAACCCGGAACATCGAAATCTGAGCAAATTTAGTACACTTCGTTTCCTAAATTGAATCTAAAATCTAGTCCAGGAAGTCATTTCCGCAAACTGATTTACGATATTAAAATGAATGTCTTTTGGTCATGACTGTGTAATATGTAATTCGAAAATCGTTTTCGAAGTAAACAGCAATAAGACCGTCTTACTGTACTTATGCAATGTATATATTGCTTATATATATCTTATGTTTTTTTAATACCCTACGATATATCATCCAAATAAATGTATACTCATTTATTAACATAAAAGCAGCCCTTTAAGTTCGAGCTAAAATTACATTTTAAATTTCCCATTAAATATTTAACATCTTGGGCGGTGGAATGATCTACATTGTTGAATCCAATTATAAGCTCCGAGTTGTTATTGACGAGATAAGTTCGAGTATTACTTCAAAACAAGAGTAACAGCCGATAATGCCTCTAATTTATAACGCTAAACAATTTTCACCGAAAAAAAAGACGAATATAATAAAATGAATAAATAAATAATTTCTGGATTTTCCTATTAAATTAATCGCACATTGTACGAGATTATAAATATGCCCACGCATAACAATAAAATATTAATTAATTATTTCCTAATCTTGTTTTATACGTATTACCCGAGGGATTTGGAGCTAGAGGGAGAAATTTTATAAAAAAAGTCGTCTTATTAGGTATCTCTGTCTCATTCGTTTTTCTAACATGAAACAACTGTGTTTCTGTACTGTACTGTTTGTATGGCTGTTTCGGTTTGAAAAACATAACATTACAGTCCTTTGAAATGGCAAAGAATAAGAGGCACTATAAGTGTCACTGTGATGTTACTATTCGTTTCTTTATGTGATGATCACAACTTTCCATCAGTTTACCATTCAAAAGTGCATAAAAACTTGTTTTTATTTTTTAATAATATTTTTAATAATCTTTTCGAATTGCAGCATACATTCTCGCAGAAGCCGGCTACGACGTATGGATGGGTAACGCTCGTGGTAACACGTACTCTCGCCACCATGTCTCCTTAAAACCAACATCTAAATCCTTCTGGCAGTTTAGTTGGCACGAAATTGGTTATTATGACCTTCCGGCCATGATCGACTACATTATCAAGGAAACTGGAGTCCCAAAGATCCATTATATAGGATTTTCACAGGGAACCACCGCGTTTTGGGTCATGACATCGATGAGACCTGAATATAATGATAAAATTTTGGCGATGCAAGCTTTAGCGCCCGTCGCTTATGTCGGAAATGTAAGGAGTCCTCTTATAAAGGCTATGGCTCCATTTATAAACTCTTTGGAGGTGAATGTTTACTTTTTTTTATACAACTTTCCTTGTTTGCCACTTCCATGGTATAAAAAAGCAGAATTACTATGCGATTGTGATTTTGACATCATACTGTAACTCTGCATATCTAAGTGTTAACTGTATGTTCGCCCACGCGGGATCAATTCTCGTGAGGATTTCAAGAAATCTTTTTTACTACTCGCCTATATTACATAAAGAACAACAACCTACTATCATTTCACTACTGATTACAGCTTTCTGGTCTTATTAATTTTCCAATATTGATACCAATAATCATCTATATTTTATAATCAGTAAAAATAACTAGACGATATCTGTAAATACAGGAAATATTCGAGAAAAATCTATACATATAAAAGTAATAGAAGTAAAAAAAATATTTTTTAGAATATTGTTTATTTATATGTTTGTTTCGGCATAACATAAACACTAGTACACCGAAACATTTGTATTCACCAAAGTTATCTTGATATACCAAAAATTATAATTACTCGCTTTTAAAATTAACGCATACAAAGTTGCAGGCAAATGCTCACTACATGAAATATGGATCTTATAGACATTTATCTATTATTAAAGTTTGTTAAGTGTCATATTTAGTGACCCTATATATCATCAATTTTATCGTTATCACATGCCATAATCATTATTGTTACACAAATTTGAAATAATGTCAATTGTTTGATAAATGTTAGCTAAGTATCTATTGTGTTTATTTACAAACGACAATCTGTATAGACTTGTAGACTACCGAGTATTATAGATATTTATTTATTTATACTTTTGCACACATTAAAATATCTCTACAGGGCGGACTGAATGCCTGATGGTATTCTCTACCAGTCAACCGTTATGCTAAACAAAGAGAGCAAATAGCAGTGCATAGATTTAAAAAAAATGTAAATTAAATAAATATTTTGAGAGATTACAACAATTTATGATAAATAAACATACAAATATATAGAATAATTAATACTTACAAAAAATATACATACATAAATCACATACAATACATATATAAATAACTATACATAGTACATATTAAATTAATAAATATGTAAATCATAACTAATTTATATAATAGTACGGATTGAGGTTTTTTATACATATTTAATTTAGATATATTTAATTATTATATCTATAGCTCTACTATTACTACTATACTCCTTACCGTATGGTCCCGGCATAAAATGCGCCAACCGTTACTTTCCCGTGGATATCGTAAGAGGTGACTAAGGGAATGAGCTATCATCATCATTAGTCATTATTTGCCCACTGCTAAACATTGGTTTCACCCTATTAGGGAGATTTTGCTAGTAGTGGCTTCGTTTGTCGGGCGGGTTGGCAACCGCAATTAGGGCCTGGTGATATTTTAAGAGACGTTGCTGTCCATCCCGCGACTAAGGAAACTTTATCCCTTGCCTCTTACGACACCCACGGAAAAGGGGCGACCTATTCTATGTCAGGAGCACACGGCACACTTATAATTTTCTTCAATAACTTTATTCGTCAACACCGTGACAAACAATAAGTAATAGTTTTCTGCTGCAATTCATCCTAATTCTTACTTGAACCATTGTAGTTAATTATTACTGAATTCGTTGCGATGGGTCAACTGACCCGACTTGATCATCATTTCATCTTTCAATAGTGCTTCGCCATTGTATACCGTTAATATAAGCGGATACACCATTCCATCTTCGTCCATTAAAAAATTTCAAATATTTTTACATATATATTCATTATAACATTTTTATAATTACAGAGGTTATTAAAAATTTTTGGGACCAACGAATTCCTGCCGAATGGTAAAGTGAACGAATTGGCTGGTCAAACATATTGTGTTGAAGAAGCCATAACTCAAGTTATTTGTACTAACCTATTATTCCTTCTGTGCGGTTTCAATACTGAACAATTGAATTCAGTAAGTGTCATAAGGTGGAATTATAATTGTTTTTTCAGAATTATTATCAGTCATATTTAAACTTGTTTCTAGAGCAATGTGTTAAAAAAAATGACGCAGCAGTATTTATTAGATTGGGACATGTGTGTACAAAATCGTAAACAAAATCTTCATATAAATTCTCTTAAGGGATGATAAACAGAGATACATACATACATATCTGTCACGCCTGTCTCCTATTAGGGTAGGCAGAAACAATGGAAACAGAGATAACTGAGTGAAAACGCCTCAAACTATATCATACGATATATTTTATAGCTAGCTAGTCTCCGGTATCCCTTGTAATACATTCTTATGGGAATATTAACAAAAAATATAAAGCTGCATACTTTCTTATTAGGGTGGTGTATTTGAGAAATTTCATAATTCATTCGATAGTTCTGGAAGTAATCATAACATATCACAAACAAATAGAACTTACCTGTATAGTATTTAAAATAATATACGTATTCAATCATTGTTTATGTTATAATACTGTATTGGTATTAATAAATTGTAATTCGAGTATTGTCGTTTCAGACTATGTTGCCAGTTGTATTAGGGCACACACCGGCTGGTGCGTCAACAAGACAAATTATCCATTTCGGACAAATGTACAACTCCAAGAAATTTGTCCAGTTTGATCATGGATGGTTTAGAAATAAAAGGATCTATGGGACACACAAACCACCAGCTTACAACTTGAGCGCCATTACGACGCCGATTTTCCTTCACTATGCTGATAATGACTGGCTATCTACGCCTTCAGACGTAGATCAATTACTTAATAAGATAAATACCATAGTTGGCAAATACAGAGTACAATTATCAAAATTCAATCATTTGGATTTTGTTTTCGCAATCGATGCAAAGGAACTCATTTATAACCGTTTATTGAATATAATGGCACAATTTAATTACAACTAAAATAAATAAAACTAAATATAATAAACATTGATATATTTCTATTATATATTATATTTAAATATCAGCTTTGTCACTATGATTATTTGCCGATACCTAAAATATATAAAATTAATTAATTTGTGTTCTTTATTTTTATTTATAAACACAGACGTTATTTCTTTATAGACTTACAAAACAAGATTGTATGCTAGATGAATCAGATAATATTGTGGAGCAAGATGGAGCAGATTTACTTTCTGATACTCTATAAAAACTTGCATGAATCTGAGAGTCTGTATTACTATTTGATTTGTTCACAATAGACATTTCTCTACTCACTAACTCACCGAACGCATTCTGAACTGAAATATAAATATTATTTACATAATATATTATTACAACGTTTACGTTAGTGATTTAATTCTATTATTAGAAAATACCTTTAGTTAATATATCTATTGGGTTTTCCTTTGCGTCATTAGGTTTATTTATACTGTCATTAGTGATAACTGGACCATTTGTTTTGTGAAGCACTTGAAATAGAGAAACATGTCTATAACTCTGAAAAGGATTAAATATTTATTTTTAAACTATTTTACTTTTTGTTACTTTATATTTTTTATATACAAATAACTAGATAATAAATACCTTATTTTTACAATTTTTCATTGTTATAATCATTTCAGATTCTAAGTTTTTAACTGTATTTTTTTCTTTGTTTTCTTCAACGCAACATTCAAAAGGCTTTGGAACAACGTTTTTAGTTATTGACGAAGGATTGTAATGCGTCGATTTCCATGAACATGTCTTATAAAAACTTTGCAACTCCAATTTCAATGATTTGTTTTCTCTTTTCAATATTTCCATTTCAGTTTCTTGTTGTTTGTGTTGCTGTTGTAAATATTCTAAATTGTATTTGTATGTTTTCAGTTCTTCGTTCTCTTCCTTAATATTACAAGCATCACAACTCTTATTAACCGTTTTGACTCTTACTGACGTGCTTCTACTGAATTTTCTTTTCGCCGGTATATCATTACTTATACTTGAATTACCATTTAAGATTCGATCACTTTCCAAATTAATTTTGCTCTTCTTAATTTCACGTTTCAATATAGCATCTTTTGCTGCAGGAATTCGAGATGGCACTTCTTTCTTTATATCAACTTGCTTTTGAGCACAATAATTATGCTTACTATTTAAGCTTGATGATTTCGTAGAAAAAGTACCAATATTTTTAACAAATAATGCTTGTTCTACCATTTCCTTTTCCCAAACTTTAACAATAGATTGAACACTATCTGTTCGACTGTTATTAATACTACAAAAATTTTCGTCTTTATAATTTACATTGAAAATTTTTTCAATAATTATCTTCCATAACATTTTAATGCTTTTCAGTACATTCAAACATCGATCACAAGGCCAATGACACGTTTCAAATTCCTCCTATTGGAAAACAAATAATTAATAAAATATATTAATATAATTTACCTGTGTTTTATTATTAATTTACTTACCTCTTCAAAGTACTTTTCAAACTGACTATCGTTTTTCAAACATTCCTTTATCATATGGCAGGAAGTACATATGCTTTCTAGGAGCATTTTTGACTTACAGTTGGGATGGCACTTGGGCGTAGCCTAAACAGAATCAGTACGCTTACTTCATATAATAATAAGTTATTTCAATCCTAAGTTCTAAACTAGTGATATTTTAAGTAATGATTTTAGTTGTAACAAACACGTTTAGTATGTAGAAAATATAAATTATTATGTATATACAAAAATGTATCAATACCAAATAATCATCAGCAAGTATGGTTAGTAATACATTGCATTAACAATCAACAATTTTTATATATACAAGACTACTACGGATTTATAAATTTGTTTCTTATTTACATATCAGTCAGTCACTTTTTATTTACAGTCAAATCAGTTATAAATATTGTCCGAGCAAGGGAAATTTTCTGTATGAGTAACACTATGTTAATTATATCTACGTGTGTACTAAATTAAAGCTAATTAACTATTAATTTACTATTTTAAAGCATAAGATATGGTAATGAAAATATTATAAATTAATATCTTCATTATTCCATATTCTAAGTATTGGCAAGGCACAAGTTAAAGTTGTTGAAAACGCTTACCATTTTTTTTTTAATGGGTGATAATGGAATAGTAACCCCACCCGCGCTATCGGTATACACCGGCGGGGCACCAGTGAGGGATGATAGATTAGGATGAAATAGGTCAGTTAGCCCATCGTGACGAATTCAACAAGAATTGTTCACGATGATTTCCAGGGGGAATCACGTGGAGGTCGACCTGATAGGGCATATTGCTAGCAATGTCGAACTCCATTGCTCACACTCCCTTTCCCCCCTAACGCTTACCATTTATCATCAGAAGGTTGGTATATATGTATGTATGAATTAACCTTATCTTTATGAAATGAATATAAAAGTATGGTACAAAGGTAGACTTAACGCTAGGAGTATTCTCCATCAACCTTCCTTTGGTATGAACAGTGTATCAAGAATAAACGCTTATCAATCTAAAATAGAATCCAGATAAAAAAATTCTTACCCTTCGTCTGCTCGTACAGGTCATACTTTTTAAAAAGCTAGTCAACGTATAAACAGGTATAACACAGATAGGCATATCGCTTTTCATCCATTCCCTAAGATACCGGTCTCGCAAGCTAACGTCATGACTCCATGCCCGGACGTCGCTACAAGACTCGTATGACTTGATCTTTCCTTCGTTTCGTGATACCAATCGATATCTGTTCCTTGCTGTATATATATAATTCATTGAACAAATATATTTCTAAGTATTTACTAATATTTAATCCATTTGGGCATAACAAGCGACGTGAAATTTAGAGGTCCAAATTACAATTGAAATACATAGTGAAACTTCCAAACTTCTTGTCAAGATGACTTGTATAAGATTGTAGATTAAAAGAAGTATTATCTGAAAAAAGGATCATCATCATTATATGAGCCGTTAACTGTCCACTGCTGAACATAGACCACTCTCATAAATTTTTTTTTTTTTATACAAAGTAATATAAAGTAGGGTTTTGCCAATAGTTGTCACGCTTATTAGGCGGGTTGGCAACTGTAATAAGGCTTTTGGTGATGATTTAATACTGACCCTGCTGCCCATCCCTCGACAAAAAAATCCCCTTAGACACCCCCTACAGTACCCACGCGAAAGGAATTTCTTATTCTAATATTCTATGTCGGGACCATACGGCAAAATCAAAAAGGGTATTTGTTTTTATTTCGTTTTCAATACTTAGTTAAAGCAATAAAAATAAGCAGCTATAAAACAATACCCGGAATTAGTGTAAAAGGACGTAATAGATGAATAGAAGAGATTTTTTTTATACAACTTAGAATGACAAACAAGCTGACGACCCACCTGATGGAAAGTGGTAACCGTTGCCTATAGACAAGAGCAGTAACATAGACATAACAGAGTATACTATTTCGCCCATCTTGCCCTCCATGTGTTGCCATTCCTGAGGACTCAGGTGTTATTCCTCTGTAACCTGTAAATTCATGCCAAAAAGAATCTTAATTTTTTTCTATGCTAAGGCAGTAATGTATTACCAGCAACTCGTTTACAATTTCAATTTGGCGGCTGGACATGAATATCATTTACAATCTGCATCTAAAAACAATTATGTATATTCTGAAATCTTTGATTAAAATCTCAAAATCGCTGTAAATTTAAAAAACCGCTAGTGGACAGCATAAACGCTACAGTGTGGTCAATTACTTATTCAAAACTCTTATGAAAAAATACTGGCCAGCATGAAGTGATCACAGAAAAAAATAAATTTAAAAGTGACATTCTACAAACCGCTATTCCGTCTCGATATATGTTGACATTACAAAATATTTGATATTTTCATTATTTACATTTCTTAGTAAGTTAAAAGTAATCAGATATTTCAAATCTTGCCGTTATGCGTAAAATGGATGGCGGGGAAAAATAACTTATATATACATGTATACGCTTAGAAAAAAATTACATAACGGTAGTGAACAAGATAGTTGGTGTAAATATGTCTTTTATAACGAAGAGAGAGCGCGTTTTCAACGAATATGACCTTTTCGACTTACCAGCTAGAAACGAAGGGAAGTTGAAGGCTTACGCGTCATGTACGGACGCGAGGGCGTGGTCTCACTTCTGTTCGGACAAGAGTGAGCACTTGGTGGAAATTATAAAGAGGAATAACGACAAATGCAGAACGAAGTATGTGCCAACAGATGTGATTGTAGATACGTTGATGGTCGCCAAAAATGCTGAGATTGGCCGACTTAAACGTAGGATAGAAGAATTTGAACAAATGTTAGCAGCGTACGATCAGCTCGAACTCACGTGCGAACAGAAATGTGAAATAGCGAATGCTGTAAGTACCTAGACATTATCCTCATCATACCAGCCGTAGGCTTCATCCTAATGAAGAGTTCTGCCGTAGTTGCCACTCTTGGCAGGCAGGTTAGCAACCGGTAGGTTTTAGTGACGTTTTAAGAAGGGCGCTGCTGTTCACCCCTCGACCATTAAGTTTCTTTAGTCATCTTTTACGACACCGACGGAAAAGGAAGGGATAGTATTATAAGTACTTATACTTAATATCAAAATATAATAATAATAATAATTATTTGTGTTTTAAATACGCACACATTTTAGGCACTTAGTTATTAATAGTCAAGAGTCTCTAGAACTCGCATATTTGCATTATAGCATCATAAAGTTAGATTTATGTAAAGAAGCCTTTGACATTCGATCTTCTCTGTTTATTCGCCAGGGTCTTGTAATAATAAGTAATATTGAAATGTAGAGAAATTATTGTGTAGATCATTAACCAGAAAATTCGAAATGCTAATTATAACAAATAAACTTTTTAACTAAATTGCACATAATAGATTACATGCGTACATTTAATCGCACAATAACGGGAATAATACATACATTAATAACTAGGTAACTAATATTAAAACCTTAATGCAAAATGCTCAAATTCGAGCTACATTAGTATCTATAGATCTAGCTAGTATACTACATCTAGGGTTGAAGTCGTAACTAAAGTTACACGCAGTAATTTGACTTTACACACACTTATTCAGCTGAATTACTAAAAGTGGTAGGTTTAAATATTTCTACATTTGCTCATCATTAATTATAGTCGCTTTTTGCGACTACATACATACGTATTATTAAAAGAAGTGCAATTTTAACCTTATATATTAAATTATTATTTTCAGCACGCGGCGATAAAAGCAGCTAATAAAGAATTAGATGAGTTGGTAAGTACTGAACACGAGTTATCCTTTAAATAATAACTAAAAATTTATACATGTTTATTTTGCTATGTATTTGAGTTATGAATAGAAAATGACAGATTTTTCAAAATTGAATAGAAAAAAAAGATGTTTATAATTAGTAACAACTGTTCTAATAATTGGTTCATTACTTATTATGTTATGCAATGTCTGTGACTGCGAATACCCAGGTATTTACTTTGTAGATTCGTTTACTCTAATATTCATAAATACGTAGTATTACAAAAACTTCCCAATTTTTAACAAAATAATAAATACCATTAATCTGCAAAGTTACAAAGATTATTTGGTATTAGTTATAAGTTATTTGGAGGTTTCAATATGTCATACTAAAATACCAATTATCTAAAATAAATTTCAATATTTACAAAAAAGTGAGAATTTACAGTGATCTGTAACTAATAAACCATTTTCATCTTTTGCAGTACCTAGATTTAGATCTGTCTGGGTTCACAGAGGTAAGTTTTACAAATTGAAATATGTACTTACATACTTACATATTATTTATTATTTAAAAATATATTATTTATTAAATACTACTTTTACATTTCAGGGTATAGAGTCAGACGCTTTTGAGGTGTGTACATTTTTACTAAATTTCAACAAACTTATCATATTTATTATTTTAAAATATTACTGCATCTCACTATGTTTATTGTGTTTTAATGTTCGTTAGAGTCTGTATAAAAGTGTTCTTATTCATTCAAACAAAGATACAGGTGTAACTATTCGAACAAAGATACGGAATGTAGTTAATCTTACTTAATATAATAAAATTGTAACTAGTAGATGTCTGTACATGTCAAAATTTTAAACAAAATTGATATGGTGGTCTAAATAAGAGATAAATATTTTTTTATACAACTTAGTATTAATATTTTTTTTATTTTTTATACAACTATGGAAAACAAGCTGACGGCCCACCTGATGGAAAGTGATAACCGTCGCCATTGACATGAGCAATACTATGGACATAACAGAGTATACTATTTTGCCCATGATACCCCCATGCGTTGCCATTCCTGAGGACTCAGGTATTATTGCTCTGTATCCAGTAACTTTTAGAAACAATCATTTTTAGAAATTTTGTCTGTCTGTATGTTTCGGCATTACGCAAAAACTACTGAATATGGTTTTCATTGTTGTATTCCTGAAAATGTTACTTAAAAACTAGTTTATGTTTTATCTTAATACGCTCTCTAGAAGTATTCTATTTTATTGGTTATTTTTTTATAGTTAGTGGTACAGTATTTAGGCATCCCGACCTTGCTATTAGATACGGATGACGGTATGCCTATATTAGTGGGTGCATAGTGCGTTAATTAGTAATTGAAGGGAGATGTTTGAGGAACATGAGAATGGCGGATGTAAAGCCGATTGGTTGTCCTACTTCAAAAATCAACGTATATGAAGTAGCGACCAAAAACTTAAAGTATTAAATTATTACTCAATTTATTGTACTAGGTAAATCGATTGACCGAATCGAACAGTATGGAAGTCCAACAAGTAGATTTAGCTTGGCAAAAATATAGCACATATTTTAGCGACAATGAATTGGAACTATTCAGTGATTTTTCAGCTCCTTGTCGAGGTTTTTCTAGACTACAGCATGTGGTTCTTCTAAAAGCGGGTAAAAAGGTTTCTTCAAGGTCCGTAACACGAGCGTAATACCCCTGGAATTGCAGGCGTTCATAGGATACGGTAACCGCTTACCATCAGGTTGGTGGTATGCTTGTTTGCCACCTCAGTGACATAAAAAAATATATAAAATATACAGTAAAATAAAATCTCTGAAATTCCCTTAAAATATGTTCAATAGAGGATTAATGTTCAATTTAATAAATAATATCGCTGTATTTCGGTTTTTTTGTTCATACTCTAACATGTTATAATATCGAAATAATTTTCCTTTCAATTCTTCCAGTGAAATTAAATATTTTTTCCACAAAAAAAATTGGTAGCAAGACGACAATAAAATTCACGTCGCCCATATTAAACAACGCGTACACTGTGAAAATACTATAAAAAGCTCGATTTTTGATTTCTTATGTTACATGCTATATAACATAATTTGAATTTTTTTTTTCAGACTGGCAAATCGACGGGCGATGAGGTAATTAAAGAATTATATCTATGAATAATTTTACATTTTTGCGGAATATATTTTTTAAAGAAAAATAATAAAACAATTATAACTCTTATCTCATTATATTCTTATCTTAGTTTATTAATTACACATAAAAGATCAAGAAATTAAAAGAATTTTTAAAATTGATTAAGTTTTCTCGATCATTTTTTGAGTTTATCATATAAGAAATCAAATCTTTTCTTATTATTATATTAGCTCAAATCATAATAATTGCTATTAACTCTGTAATTATAATTCGAAGTGATTGATATTAAACACATGTGATTTACTTTTGGATTTATCATATTTGGATTAAATTCAGAATTAGGACGTAACTCCTATAAAAACTTTAGTAGTTAACCAATTATGGGTATAGTCTCCGTTACTGTTCCTTTCCCTTCCCCAACGAACACTAAATAAATCATAATACTTAATCATAATAGTCATATTATTAGAATGTATGATCTAATTTGTTTGTTTTAGTTATCCACATTCAAGGTTGTTGTGGTAAAATCACATATTTAAATAAACCTACATAAATACAAAATATTTATACACTTATTGATAATTTATACATATTTTAATAAAAGGGATGACAGGCAAAAATTTATAGTTAATTTCTAAATTAAAATATGCATCTACGTAAATAGTAGATAAGCATATTTTAGATTTAGATAGATTTAGCGGATAAAATAAAGGTTATTCACAAAATTATTTATTCTTATGGATTATTTTCATGTATAATAATTAACGACCTTTTTTATTATTAATTTCCTTACAAATGAAATCAAGTAATATCAAATAGTCTTTATTTTTCAACTCTGTAATATATAAAGCCTAGTAAGTAAAAAATCCTTATGTCAAGAAAACCACTCTTTTATAAATATATGTACTCGTATATGTTTACCTCTCTTTATCTTTCCATTTTATATTTTAATAATAATCCATAAGATTTTATTAGATCTGTTTTTTTTTTCTTAATAACATTACGTTTACTCTTCATAAAGACCTTCCTAGAACTTCAACGAGAATTTGAAAAAAATTGCCGAATTGCAAACATCTAATGATTTAATTGTATTTATATAGAATAGTTTTTATCTGTAACTTTATCCGCGTGCCCAATACATTTCTTTTTCTATCTCATATAGTACGTGTATACTAAATTTCATAGTAATTTCTTAAGCCGTTATTGCTTAAAGCGCTAAGTGGTAATAAAGCAACTAACTTATTTCACTTTTATAATTTTCTTTTGCTTCTAAGACAAATTCAAAAAATGACAAATTTGTTTCAGGGCGACAAATCTCGCGGTGACGAAGTAAGTATTTCACACTATTAGGCAGTAGAAACACTTAAACACTTGCGTTTTATAATCCAATAATAACATAATTTCAGTGGACGTTCGAGAAAGCACCAACTACAACAATGGAGAGCAAAGGAATCCAAATGGGACTAGAACATCCATGCGATGCGAGTACTTGTAAGTTAAGATTTGTTTAGTTTTTTAATACTCATAATATAACAGTTGATCACTAGACTTCTTGCAACATTAAGTTCTAATATGTTCAGTGAAATATGGACGTTAAGCATATTACATACATTATGGCAGCAATCTGACAACCCCATTAGAGATCATAGTCGTGACAATATTTATTTTCAAAACCCACAACTGCTGTTAAGACAATCTCATTACTCATTACTATGACAACTTGTTATTCTCCCGTGTGTATACAAAATTGTCCTACTCATTCGACTGTTAAAAAAATTCTTTCTTCTAGCTGTTACCGATCCGAGAATACAAGAAATGCAGGACACTATCATTAGTAAGGATGCCAAACTAAACGCTATGCAAAACACTATTGCCGTTAGTATCTATAATGCGTAAATGTTTTTTGTTACTATAAATACGTACGTACAAAGTATTATTTAATATAAGTAGGTACTTATATATATATATATATATATATATATATATATATATATATATATATATATATATATATATATATATATATATATATATATATATATATATATATATATATATATATATCTAGACGGTGTATTGTTCATTATTTTGTTATATACCTAAATTATTATTGTTGTAAATTTATCCCACACCAGCAGTTTTCCCGCTCGCCTTGTATCAATCCACACATAAACCGTTACGGACAATCTATTTCCTACTAAGGACATCCCGCGGCTTCGCCCGCATGCTGTAGGTATATGAAATATCCCACATACAAGTTAGAATATAAACTACCCATGTACCAAATTTTATTGCAACCTGTTTTATGGATTTTTGTGTGAAAGAGTAACAAGCATCATTAATAGGATACAAACAAAAAAAATTAAACACCTAAAGCGACAGACTGACTAAAAACGTAACTATTTCCGCCGGAATTCTGATAAGTCCATTAATTCCAAATAAAAAACTTATTTCAATGAACACAAATGTGACAGTATTTTTTTAATTTTTATAAATTTTGAAAGGATTTTAATGATTATTTTATTAATTTTTCATTATTTTGCCAAATTGATTTTTTTGTGAAACAAACACTGATTATGCCGGATAGCTTTACGCGCCTTAAGGGTTTGAATTACACGGCAGTATCCATCTATGAAAATGGATATTTATCAAAATCTATTAAAACGTATCTGTAATATTCATGCATCCACAAACATTAGGCATACTTCATAGTACAACAAAAATATATATCTGAGTATGCTGTTATCACTTCATACCATTACAAATATCCTGTCAGATATCATAAAATTATCCTTTATCTTTATTACGTATGTAATATTGTTAATAGTGTCTCTAATTTTTTTGTATTAATAATAATTTCAGGTCATGGAGAATGACGTTTGCGAACCCTATTGCATCTACGCACACATTTACACGGCTTTAGAAAAAATATTTGGCATACTTTGCCAAAATGACAAGTATAAACTGTACCTAAATTTGATGGTTTGTCTCTATTACCATTATAAAATTATTCATATAAGTAAAAAAAAACAGACTATTTTATAGATTATTCTTTTTTTAAACTTAAAACATTATATATAATCTTATTAGAATATATTTTTTAAAAAGACCAAGAGTAAAAGTATCTTGATAATTACGACAAAAAACGAAATAAAAAGTAGAAAATCGTAACTATTTCAAAACTGTCTAAATTTAATTAAATAGTTATTTAGTATTTATTGTTACATACCTTAAAATGAAATACTGCACCCACTATCATTCTGTTGTCCGACTGTCAGTTCGTCTGTCAAGATCCATATGCTCAGGAAAACCTGGAGATAACAGCTGAAATTAATATAAAACCTCAAGTGTGCAATTACTTATCTTAGTTTATAGCATATAGTTTGACATTTGCAAGGAAATTAATAACTATATATAGAAAAATTTTGTTGATTTAGAATCACGAAATTTGGAAACAAGTAATATCGTATAACACAATGGAAAAATCTGGAAACCGTAAATATTGTAGTTATATCTACAATTTTTTTTTATTATAATTTATACAGGCCTCTCAGTACGCGAGGCCGACTTTTTATCGCTCTGCCGATTTTTATATAATATATATCGACGATCTAAGATTTGAATAATTACATTGTTCTTTATCATGACATTATTAGCCCTAATTGGGCTTACATATAGAATAGAAAATTATTATTAACTAAATGATCTTTAAATAATTTTTATTATTCTATTATTTTTTATTACTCTTTCTTTTCTAAGTTTTCTAAGTTATCTAAATATAATAATTAGAATAAAAAATCATAGTATCTGTCTAATTTCATCCAAATCTATTCATCCGTATAACTCTGAGTATCTCACAGTACAAATATGTACCTATCTTACGCTGTCCTACGGGGATGCATCTCCTATTTTATTTATTATCTTATAGTAGTAGCAAAATTTTATTGTTATTAAGTTTACTGTTATAATATTTTACAGACAGATGGGAAAGATATCTCTTGTGTAGATATAAAGGGAAAAATACTTTTTAAACTAAAAGTGCTTGAAAAATTTTGTCTTGCACTCATAGCACCTTGTTCCCAAGAAACCAATTCTACAACTCAAGACTGTTCATGCTATCGTGCTGAAATTGCATTTGCATTAAAATCAGCGGAATCCCAACAATTGAGTCTAGACAATAAAAGAGCACACCTCGTTGCAGATATTATGGAAAATGAAGAAATGAAAGAAATACTAAGTAAAGAAAATTGTCCAGAAAAAAATGACAATGAACAAGTTGATTATTATTTTGCTATAGATGATTATAATATAAACACGGAAAACTTGAATAGGTTAAAAAACTTACAAGAAAATTACAACGATTTAATGGCATGCTATGAGAGTTTAAAACATGAAAGGAATTTCTTGCAAATGCGCTGTCAAAAGTATGAAGAACTAGAAATAGATTATGAAAATTTAAAAGCTCAGCTAAAAGAATATAATAATTTATGGAATGAAAAAGAACGTTATAGAAAACGGTCTGTAGACCTCGACTCATTAAAGGAACAATATTTAACATTATCAGATGAAACATCAAACTTAGAAACACGGCTTAGAGCAGAGAAAGAAATTAATCGTATAAAAGCTGATACAATTGAAAGACTACAAGCTGAAAATATTACTCTTGAAAAAAAATTAAATGATTCTTTAATTGCTTTTGAAAAAGAAAAAAACACTTTACAATGTAAATTAAAAGAGACAGAGTGCCAAGTAATGTGTCAAGAACAACAAATCAAGAGTTTGTCCGTTCAAGTAGATAGACTTCTTGAACAAGACCAAGAGAAGGTTGAAAGAAATATTTATGATCATTCATTTTTATATTTTACTGTCAAAATTAACAAAGTATTGAAAACTATATTTTAGTACATCGTTTATATACTTACTTATTTTAATTCATTTTAGACTCATTCTCACGAGGTCGCAACGCATTCGCTTTTATTGATGGACGAAATAGAGTCTTTAAAAGATCAAATCCGGAATCTAAAAGAAGCATTGTTTTGCAATGAAGAAGAAAAACAAAACTTACAATTAGAATTCCAAGAAAAACTAAAAACTATCAACGAACTAAGAATAGATATAGATGACTGGAAAAGTAAGTAATAAAATGTTCAACTATATTTAATTTTTGCATTATAATTTACTAGTTCTTAACTACGAATTCATCTGCGTGATGAGGATATGTTTACGAACGAAAATAAAAAATAGCTTATGTCCTTCTTAATTACAAATAATATATGTAAACCAAATTTTATGGAGATAAGTTAGCTGTTAGAGCTGAGATAACAAACAAACTTGTTTTCATATTTACAATATAAAGTAAACAGATTTTTTTTTAAGCTACGTATGAAAAAATGCTTCAACGTAATGAATATATGAAAAATGATTATGAAGATGAAATATTAAGATTAAAAGAAGAAAATGTAATGTTATCAGAAAACGTGAAACTAAAAGATACAGAAACAAATAATTTAATCAATATGATAAGCAATAAATCTGAACAGATAGAAAAACTTATGGAAGAAAATGAATATAAAAATAATAAGAATAAGGATTTGTTTAAACAACTTCATGAAATTCAAGAAATGTATGACAATCATGTACAGAAGATTGAGAATGAAAAAAAACAAGCTATCGAATCATTAACATTAGCAAAACAAGAAAGTCAAGAATTATTGGATAAAGTAAAAGATTATAATGAAATTATAAATAAAGAACATGAGATAAAAATATCACTTGAAACTCAAACTAAAGATTACAAGGAAATGCAAGACATATTATTTAACACAATTGAAGAAAACAAAAGCTTACAAAGCGATTTAAGGGAACAAAAAAGCAACAATTCTGTTTTAATTCAAGAAATCAAAAGACTACGTGAAGATAATATAGATGCTGTTAATAATATTAATGCCTTAAATAGCGAAAATAATCAATACAAGACATCATTAGAATTAACTAAAAAGAAAAGCGAACTACTAGAAACTAATTTACGTGAAACAACAAATATACTTGATAATGCAATGGAGTCGATACAATTATCTAAAAGTGAAAATCAAGATTTAAAAGATGAATTAATAAAACAGAAACAAAAATTTGCTAATATACAAAGTTCTTATGATACTCTTTTGACTGAAAAAAATATGCTTCAAAATGATTTTAATGTTAAAGTACAAGAATATAATAATATACACAATAATCTGAAAATTAAAATAGAGTTTTTAGAAAATAATCAAAAAACAGTTACAGATAATATAGCTGTATTACAAAATGAAAATGCACATACAACAGCATCATTAAATGCTCTCAAAAAAGAAAAATCGTTATTAGCCAAGAAACTAAAAGATAATGAAGAATTAAAAAACGAATTAGAGGAACTAAAAGTAGCTCTCGAAGAAATAACAAAGGATAAAGACGAATTAAATAAAGAATTACAGGAAAAAGATATACAATTAACAGAGTTAAAAAAAATAAAACAAGAAAATAATAACTTACATAAAGAAAGTCAACATTTATTAACACATAGTGAAGATTTAGAAAAATCTTTACTAAATGCAAGAAATCAGGTAAACTATAATATTATTTTTTGTTTTATATCATACGAGGGTCAAACTGAAAGTCCTTAGAAAATCAAAAACTAATTAAATTTGAAAGTTTTTATCTTTTTACCTTTATCTTTTCAAAATAGTGTCCATTCACGTCAATGCATTGCTGCATCCGACAGAACCTCTGAGAAAAGCACTTTGCCCACTTGTCCTTAGGAATCTCTTCGACAGCCTTCTGAAACGTAGCCACAGCTTCCTCGGCGTCCATAAAACGTTTTTCTCGAAGTTTTTCTTTTATTTTTCGGAATAAATAAAAATCGCAAGGTAAGAGGTCGGGGCTATAAGGCGGATGACCCAGTAGTTCTACGTCTGAGGTCGCTAAATAATCGATTGTTTGCCTGGCGGTGTGAGGAGGAAGGAGGATCCTACTTCGAGGTCGTTTCTCACGCACTTTTTCCAAAATATGTGGCAAACAATTGTTACTGTACCACTCTGCAGTAACTATTTTTCGATCCTCTACAACAATTGTCGCGTAATGACCTGTCCTTCCAAAGAGCGGGGCTACCATCTTTTTTCCCACGCTTCGACCTCCTGAGGGATCCACCGGGCACAAAGCTTCCTGACTGCCAAATGTTCATGGAGGATTTTGTGCACTTGACTCATACTAATCCCTAAGCTTGCCCGGATCTGCTGATAGGTCGCTCTTTTGTCAGTCTCTATCATACGTTGTACGACACTGATGTTATCTTCAGTCGTCGCCGTAGAAGGCTGTCCCTCACGCACATCATCGGTGAGATTAGTGCGATCACGTTTAAACTCATTAAACCAGTTGTAAACAGTGGCACGAGACGGGGCTTCATTGTGAAAGGCCAATCGTAGCCTATTATAACTTTCTTGTTGACTTAAATGACATCAAAGGTCATAAAAATCATCGTACGAAAATTTTCTCGTATTAAGTTCATGATAACATTACACAGACTATTTTCAATTTGCCGCCAAACCGTGAAACAAATGACAAACGAATAAATTATATACTCGATATTATTTGTAAAGAGTTCCATTTTCAAAATTTTTACATTTTTTTTTTATTATATTGCTTTCAAGTAGCCAGTTCTAAAAATTTTCAGTGTAGCCCTCGGACTCATTACTCATAACGATTTACATTTCAGCTAGTTGAAAAATCTATGACTCCTCAAAATTTGTACAAAACAGTTTATAAAGAAATCGAAGAAATGAAAAGAGAAAAATTATTAAATCACAACAGAATCAGAGAGCTATTAGATAAATTAGATGAATTGGTAAATATAAGATTATAAAACTAAATTTTAGGTTCACTAAAATTCTAACAGTTTTCAAATTTAACAATTTAATATTTCAGGAAAATATCATATCTACTCTTAATGAAGATATTTCAGCTCGTGATTACAAAATTTCAATTTTACAAAATCACATTAATCAATTAGAAGAGGAAATTCGACAATTACATAAAAACATAGCCGAAGCAGTTGATACAGGAGAACAGATAAGTAGCACAAGTTACGAGAAAATTGATCAGTCTCTTAAAATAATAGAAACCCATCGTAAGTAGCTATTGTATATTATATTCATATAATTCTACGATTTACTTCTAGAAATAAAACAGAACCGTCTATAGAAAAACCTTTTTTAGTAGGACAACAAAACGGATAAAACGAGTTATTAGTAGATAACTGGTGATAAAAAAATGAATAATATACAGATATTAAGAATAACCAGAGACTAATGATGAAGAATGTAGAGAGAAAAAAGAAAAGTGACATATTAAGATGTGTGTGCAATCATTTCATATGAATGTCTACATACATACTTACATATCCGTCACACCTGTCTCCCTTTTTTTTTGTCGAGGGGAAATGCTTCATGCAGACCCACATACCTCGGGGGAGATATGTGGGTACTGCCGGATTTTTACCGGCTAAAACCCCCGGTGTTCTTCGTCCACCTATTCCCGGAGCCGCGGGGAACCCGCTTAAAGTCGTTCGAGACTCCGACAGCGACGGCCGGCTCCGAAGCAGGCCCTCTCTCTTTACTAGGGCGGGAAGAGATTAAACCCGCCCTACATCAGAAGAGGGCGCGCAGGTACACGCGCGCGCCGCTCTCAGGGTCTAAGTGGTGTTGAGGAGACAGCCACCCCTGGCCCTAGCGGAGTGGGAGTGAATGGGATGGTATTAGAGTCCCGTCTCCTTCTCCGCCTTATCCTTCTGCGGCGTATCAGTGCAGTAGAAGGGTCGATCTCGCGATCGCTCTTTGCTGCTTCTTTCCTTGTCATGACAGCCTCGCAGAAGTGCAAGACTGCAGACCAAGACTTCTCGCTTATGGATCCACTAGTCGTCCTCCCAGTCTCTTTTGAGAGCTCGTTTCACCTGGCGCCTCTTAGTGATCACGTCGGCAGGAGACGGTTGCTCACCGCGATTTCTTCGCGCCGCGCGCCAGTTATACAGAAACGCACAGGACTTCGCCTTCAGGTCCCAGAGAGGGGAACCCGCCAACAGACAAACCGCTTCCGCTGAAACGGTGCGGTACCCTCTGATAGCCCGTATCGCCATGGCTCTCTGAGGGCGACGCAAGTTAGCGATGTTGTCGCAGTTGAGCGCGTCAGCCCAGATAGGAACACCATATAGGGCTATGGACTGGATCACTCGAAGATAGAGCCGGCGGCAGCTGTCGTTAGGTCCTCTCAAATTAGGGAGGAGCCGACTGAGACCATTCGCGGCTGCCATTAAGCGGGGAGCTAGGTTTCTAAAATGAGCCCGGAAACTCCAGCACCCGTCGAGAATCAAGCCCAAATAGTGGATTGTGAACTTGACAGGAATTCTCGTTCCGCCAACCATTATGTAGGACCCCTCCGGTGGGGCTTGACGCGGACTATGGAAGCATATTGCTTCTGACTTCTCCAGTACCACATTGCGACCAAGCTGTGGAATACGGCTGACAACAAGAGCCGTGGTTGCAGTGGCCCGCATTGCTGCCTCCTGATAATTCATCCCTCGGCGCGTGGCCAGTGTATTGTCGGCGTAGCACGTTAGGCTCGTACCCGATAGCAAAGCACCCCGTAGCACATAATCGAACCCGATGTTCCACAGAAGAGGGCCTAAAACCGAACCCTGTGGAACACTGCGCTCCATGGTATGTCTCATCAATTGCCCGTTGCGATCGACACAGATTACCTCCCTGCTCTCCAGGTAGGCCCCGATGATGTTATATAGATACTAGGGCACTCCATGAAATCGTAGCCTCTCCATGATGCAACTTAAGGGCAGGTTGTTAAATGCGTGAGAGATATCTAGAGATACCACAAGAAGCACTCCACCCTGGGAAACAGCTTCATCAGATAGCTTTCTTACATACACCTGTCTCCCTGTAACTGTCTGTCATATTAGATAGTTTTTTTTAGATGGATTTAATCAAAGTGTCTAATTTTTATTTAATAAAAAACTAGTTATTATGTGAACTTATAATCTTTAACCAGTATTTCTCACAAAATCAGGGTACTTTTATATCAATTAAGAAATATCTGGGCACTCACGCAGGGATTCACTCATTTATAACATAAATGCATTTTATTTGGTATTATTTTATTTTAATTAACATAATTAATTCTTTTTAAGATTCAAGAGCAACGCATAACATGAAAATGGAATTGGCTCAGTTACAAAATGAAAAATATATACTTGAAGAACAACTTTCAGCTTCGAAGTTAAAAACAGAGAATTCAATTCATGACAAAAGTAAATATTTGTCCCAAATAAGAAATCTACAGAATGAAAGAGACATTATAATTACCGATATTAAACAACTGGAACTTAAAAGTGTAGGCGACAGTGCTTTATCTCCAGATAAGTGTGACATCGAAGATGTTTTAATGTCACTAGATCGAATAAGTAAAATTTTAGACGAAAAGAGTTCTAAAAGTATTTCTTTGGAGCAAACATTACTAAAAGTTCAAACGTCATCACAATTACTCTTAAGTGAGGCAAAAGAAATTGTAGAGAAAGAAAAACAAAAAATTATAAATGAAAAAGAAGAAGCTATTCGAGACAGAATCAATATGGAACAAAAATTAGACGAATTGAAATGTCAGTTAGAAGAACAAATTTCTAGTGATAAAAAGATTATATTAGATCTGGAAGCTAAACTACTCAATCAAAAACTTATAACTGATAAAATAAATAAATCCACTCAGAATTATATATCCAAATTAGAAGAGGAAATCCAATCTCTTCAAGATTTATATCAAAATTCATTAGCGAAACTCAACGAATTACAAGAAAAAGTACAGCATTTATCTGAAGATAAAATTACGAATTTAGAAAAAATAGACAAAATTTATTCTGAATTGAAACAGAAATGTAAAGATATTTCAGAATTACAGAAAACTCTTGAAATGATAAAAAATAAACAAAATATTAGCGTTGAAATTCAGACTAGCTTGACAAATATTCAAAGAAGCATCTCTTCTGAAACAGATAGTGATTTGCAAAAGATTGATTATAATAACTCTTTGCACGCCTCAGAATTTTACAGTCGCAATATCAATACAAATAAAACATTAATTAACCATTCGGACAAAATAGATGATAATAACATTTCCAGTATTATTCTTGAAAAGAAACCATATCTTAATGAAGTACAAATATTGGCTGCCAATATTGAACCTTCATATGATTTTATTAGAAATAGTTATTTAAATTATAAAATTCAACAATTAAGTATAGGTCATCTAGAACAGTACTCATTTTCTAATGAAGAATTATCTAACCAAACTAATAATGTGAAAAATGATTATTCTCTTATGAATGAGAAAAATGTACCTAAAATATATGAATGCCCGAATTTTATTGATATTTACAATAAACAATCCTTATACACTAATAACTCATCTAAAACCTTAGATGACCAAACATATAATAATAGTCCTCAGAAATCCAACGCATTTACTGAATTAGATTTTACAACTGACAGTTTTAATACTGTTGGTAATAGTAAAAAGTATAAAAATAGTACTATTACGAATTCTTCATCAGGAAAATCCACAGATAAAGATCTATTTATTATTTACCATGATAATGGAAATAATTACGATAACTCATTTTATGACAATAAGAAAACGTGGAATAATCAGTCTCAACAAATATTGGTTGAATCTGTAACTGTTGCGCCTCAAATAATTAATAAATCTAAAATTGGTATTAACAAATATCAAAACCAGAATCCACATACAAAAGAAAAATATATATATCTTAAAGGAGAAGAAAATGATAATGATAGTGTAAAGCCAAAACTTAGAATTAATTTGCCCTTTATCGATATAGATAATCCAACTATGTCTGATAATGACAAGAAATCATTAGATTCGTACAAGGTGGCACTATATTCAACTCCAAAACAGGTAATAAGTTTAGATAGTAATGTAAATGAAAATATTAATAAGCCAACTCAAGACATTTTATCTGTACCTACTACATCCAATGAAAGTCATGATGATTCAAATTGTTCATTAGAAATATCGTTGCATAAAATTAAGGACTCGACTGATAAAAATAATAAGATGGCTAATGCATATAATCATCTGCTTTCCAAAGAATCTCACTATAAACTTTCACGAGTTGGTGCCGATGTATTATTAATTAAATCTAACATTGACAATAAGGATTCAGTGGATTATAAAAATAATTATAGCTTAAAAAATAGTCCAAGGCAATCATTAGAGAATTTTGGTCTGCAATACATATTACATAAAGTAAAGCAAGAAATTAATTCAGAACACAATATTCAAACGACATTGAAAATTATACGAAAAAGTAAAAGCGACGAAGGATTTAATCAATTAAAATCACGTGAAATAAGTGAATCTAGTCCATTAAAATTAAGTCCTCTAAAACTGTCATCTATTGAATATAAAATTACATCAAATCTGAGTACAAGCAAATCTAGTAACGGTAGCAAAACGAAGTCATTTGTAGAACGTAGTGTTATGGCTAAAGTAGGAGATTCAGAAAATTATGAAAGTAAAATACAATCTTTAACAAAAACGTTGGATAATATTGAAAAAGACTATAAGAAAAAAATTGAAGTTATTAAGATACATTATGATAGCAATATAAAGAATATAATCAATAAGCATAATCAAGGAGTAAAGAGTATACAGAATTTACATGAAGAAACTCTACAGGATATAATCACTAGACATGAGAATGAAGTAGAAAGCTTAAGAACTTTCAGTATTGAAGCTTTGCGGAAATCAGATAAGCTTGAAAAAGAAATTCAAAAGTTAAAGACGAAAATTCAAGATTCTTGTTACGATACTGTAAGTAAACATAGTTTTTTATTGCATTTTTGACCATTTTTTAAAAAGAAGAGGGTTTCTTCCAAAAGGGTATATTTAGATTTCTTTAGGGTCGCCATCGCGCACGTTACACCCCTAGTGTTGCAAGCGTTCATAGGCTACAGTGACCGTTTACCATCAGATGGGCTATGTTTGTTTGTCACCTTTGTGGTATAAAAATTTTGATTCTTCTTTTTGCCTATATTTTTTGTGTATATATTACGCTACAATTTCGTCAATTTCTTAATACATTTTATAATTTTCTTATAAATCGATAGTTTTATTTTAAAAAAGCAAAATATACTATTAATTATATTATTATTAAATATAAGTACGTTCTCAGGAGCCAATAAAAATAACGCCTCATAATAATAAGAAGCGAAGACGATCTCGAATAGATACTAAAACACTCACTAAAACTAATGTAGAGGCTTTAAATGTTAGACCGAAGTCACGATTCCACGGACCCTGCACGTGTTCACTTGATATCAACATATCAGATACCATACGGAATATATTTGATCAAGTTGATGTCGAACAAAGAAAAATGGCTGAACATTCTTATATGAAGTACATTGCTAATAAGATATTAAACAATACTATTGAGGTAAATTTCAATATATATATATATATATATATGACTTTGTACTAAATTATTTTATTATCTCTTGTCATCACTTTGTTTTAATATAATAATTTACGAATTGTTCTGATAGTTCCTAGAATGTTTTTTCTTCTTTGATATATATTATATTCATCATATTATCATATATTATATACAGCTGTTAACTATTCACTACTGAATATATAGACCTCCCCCGTTGAGGAGTTTTGACAGTAGTTGCCGCGCTTAGCAAGCGGGATCGCAACCGCAATAATAATTTTAATATTTTAAAAGAGACACTAATGCCCTTCCCTCGACCATCACCTCGCCTCTTATGACACCTACGGGAAAGGAAGGGATATATATATAATAATGAAAAACGGTTTATTATTCCCCTCAATAAAATAATACATATTTATGTATTAGTTTTCATTGTTTTGTTTTTTCTTGTGTACATAAATCGAATGTATACAAAAAAAAACAAAACAATAAACACAAAATAAGACAAGACAATAAGATAAAGGATAATAATTACAAGAAGCAAGGTAAAAAGGCGACAATGAGCGGCCTTATCACTAAATAACCTTTGCTGTAACTTTTTTTTAGATGATTTATTTCACCACATTCTCTTTTAACTTTTATGTACTATTAGACATGATAGATATACTAGTTAATTTTAATATCTTTGTGTAGTAAGAAGTTTCATAAAAACAGTTTTATTTTATTGTTGCGTTATCAAAAATGTATTTTTATTTTTATCGGCAATCACTATAGGCCTTGGACACTCAAGAGTTATCATTTTTGCATTTAAAAGTGTGTCGCACTTGGAAAATGAAATTGAATAAAGAGGAGGCCCTACAAAAGAGAATAGACTCGTTAGAAAATGAGCTGTTGAACAAACAACGCTTCGCCCAACAGCACAGTTAGTAATTCTTTTATTATTAAACATGTAATATAATGACATCAGCATAACGTATCATTATTTTATGAGTAAATTATCACTTATTTTTATTCCATCCTCACCTTACCATCGCATTTTTAAAACCTTTTTTGCTGCTAATATTTATCTTTTGAATGAAACAAAATCTGCCACTCTATTGGCCTCGTCGATAATGTCGCAATGAAATATGGAATGGTTCTGAGTTATATGCATTCATCTCTTGTACAGATTTAATCGTCGTTAATTTGGTAGTAGTCGCCACACTCTTAATTTGTTTATATGATGTCACCACCCGAAAACCTTTCTTCATTTCAGTTTTTATTCGAGACAATTTTAGATGTAACTTTTGCATGGGTAAAAAACTTAGTAAATCAAATTAACATTAAGTTTACTTAGTTTTCTTTATATCAATGTTTATAGTGACTTTGATTATATAGATAGTGTATCTATGTACAAATACTTCACTAAAAGCAAGTCAACTTTTCTATCCATGCTGCGCTAATAGGTTTACTATACTCACGTCTGAATGCCTTCAAAAACGTTTTACAATCAGCCATCAAGTCTCTTTGACATGTCCATATTTTTATATATTTTTGTTATTTGCATATACCTCATTGTTATTTACCACATTCATATGCTTTCTTTTTATAATTTATAGTTTAACAGGGTTTGCTAACTACTTTAACCATGCTGTGTGTACACCTGTCTGGGTATCAATCTAATTCATACTATTGTCTTTCTATAAATGTTTATAATGTTATTGATTGTAACCTGTTGTGTATACCTTTTTAAATAAAATAATAATAGATTATCAAATTTAAAAAATCTACTTAGTATTAGAAATTTTTAATCTAAATACTGAACTAAACACTGAATAAAAAGCGCGCTTTGTCTTGGTTTAGAAAATATATGTGTAGATTTATGTCGCCCAAATGCCAATTTAGCAGACTAAATATTGACACTTTTTTACGCTAGATGTTCTGTCTATATAAGGCTATCACACAATAAAATCACAATGTGCTTACCTAAAGTTGCAGAATTAGACCGTAAGGTCGCAGAAGAAAGACGCCAGCTACAAAAAGTGCGCGAGGCAGTTTGTCGGCCGGATATCAGTCCCGTGCAAGATGCACAAAATACGCCGCTTCCGCTACCACCGCCTCCGCTACCTACAGCTGCTGAGAAAGATCTGATGTATGTATCCCCCGTATTACTACATGGCTATATTTCATTTTGAAGGGTGGGATGTAGTAATAAAATTTCAAGAAAGAATAATACTGTAGTTAACAAGAATGCCAAGACATCAGAGACCTATCGGAAATAATAAAGACTAAATGACATAAGTAAAAACAAATATAGCAGTAGCTTTTGTCAATTCTCTCATCAGATTAACTCCATGAGAGAGTATATAAGAGATTCCTTTTTTGAGAATATTATTAAAGTAAGGGAAATAACAGAAATTCTTTTTAGTTGTTCGACAAATGCTCAGTAGTTAGACGCTTGACATACATATAAAATTTTTGTACACATAATTTTTGAAACTTAATCTTATTTGATTTTTTATTTGTAATACTTTTTACGAATATAAAAACTAAAAAGTTGGCACAAAGCGGTGCGGCACGTATGTCAAGCACCATATTCAACAAATAAACTTTTCATACATTTAGGTAAGAAAATTTTTAAATATTTTATAATATATAACTCCTACTCCTACTCCTAGTCTTCTCCTAATCTCGCAGCTATAAGTTGTAATATCAAAAGATTTGGAAACTAGAGAAAAACCATTTCGGGTGTTTTATCAAACTTTTATTCATTTAGGTGCAAATGTAACACTGCATCGTGCAGTGTAGAGCAGGCAAACAGATGCAGTAATGCCGGTACTTCAAATTTAGAAGTAATAGAGAGAAGGTCAGCTGGTGACCTCGTAAAAGGTCCCCTGAACTGTAGTCTTCGACCGAAACGTACCAAAATTGATTCGAACAGAGTAAGTTTTTTTATATAACCACAATGACAAATATAAGGTTCGTTTAATAATAAGCAAGTATCGTAGCTGATGGTCACCAGTGAAATCTTATATTTTATTAAACTAGGTTTTATATTGTGGAAGTCCATATTACTAGTAAGTGCATTACAATTATTTTGTTTAATAGTAGTGGAATTAAACAAAATAATTGTTTTCAACTAGTAAAATCTTATGAATCCGTTGTCCGGTCGCCATGTTAGAGACCTTCATGTATAACATATATATATGCCTATGAACTTATGATGTCAAAAGTCCTGTCGCTTATACTGTGCTAAAAGGCTACACCCTCATACAAGTAGTAACAATAGTGACATTTTGAAGAAACCTATAATTATTTAAGAAAATCTCATTATATTGCCACTATTTATATCGGCTTTACAGACGTTTTAAATTTGGGAATGTCCGATTAGTTTTAAAGTAAATAGTAGCGCTTATTCATAAGCGCGGTTCACGGCTACGCTACTACGACACAATATACGTTATGACTTACGATAGTTATTATTCAACATTAACAAATCTCAGTATGTTACAAGCAATCATATTCTACAGTAGCTGATTACCATCAGGCGAATCGTATCATCCATCACCAATATCATCGATTCTATATTATCAACAGGCAATTGTAACCAAACTAGATGCTGATGGACGTTGTGAAAAAAAGTTTTATAGTGATGAAATGCCAACTCGTTTAAGAAGACCTCATGCATCGCACGGCGCCGATCGGCAAACTCTACAACGGACATGCAAACGTAATACCCGGACTTGACCTTACTAGAATTTGGCATTCCAATGTATGGAAGATACATGGAGTTTACAATTGTAATCAAAATGGAACTGAATATCTTTTTTAAAATCTAGACATTTCTAGAAATTTTTGTGAACAAAATTTGAAAAATATCACAGTGTGGATGTGCTGTAAATGTTTTGTGTACTAAATTGAAGATTTTGATTTATTTTACATATATGTTTTTGGTAATTTATATCTGTATTTTATTTATACACGTTATATTGCACGATGTAAATTTTTGTTACAATAAAAACAAAAGAAAATAAAATGTTTTTAATTGTGAATATAATCACTTATAATTAACACACACAAATAACAGTTGAAAATACGATAATAATTTTACATAACTCGATTAGCGATTTTCAGTACAACAATCTTACACATTTACTACCTAATTCCTTAACCTCGTAAAAATCTGTATTTTAACTTATTGGTAACTTTTTACGTATGAGAAAATAATGCAATACGAAACTACAAACACTTAAAATAGATTTAAGAAACATTGAAGTCCACAATTTATACAAGTTATGTCTGAATTAAAACACATTGATATAAAATAAAATGTGACTAAAAATGTTATAAAAGATATATATTATAGTTAATTAGAAAGAATTTGATCAATTATATAAAAGGTCTCTTGATAAAAATCATCTTAATATTTTTTTATGTACGCGATATTGTCGCCAATCGGACAATGATTTTAATAGTTACTATTACAATTCATAGAGTTCATTTTTGTATTGGTTATATTTTTAATCTACAACTATATTTATGTACAACTCGGAACTTGCAATCTTCTACTTTTTTGTCTATGTTAATAATGTTAAGAATTAAATAGCAATAAAACAATGTTAATCATTAATGCATAATAAGACGATTTCTAACTGTATTTAAATAATTTTACAAGAATACCCCAAATCATTATTTACAATAACCGCAGTTTAAGTAAGTACGAGTAATTAGCGTAATTCAAATAACAATAATACCCTATTCAATTAAAATATTCCTTCTCTCCTAATTATTATTAAAAGCGGGATTCGAAAAATTGTTAGCCGGTGATCTGTACCACGGGTTGGATACTACAAACCCTTGGGCTTGTGCTTCAGAGGCAAATTTCGCGTATTCCTTTTTATCGTGTATGTCAATGAGAATCTTCCATATGACACCCGTCAGCAAGCCGATGAGTAACACTGCGCCGATGGAGGAGCCGACAGCAACTGATAGAAGTAACAATAATAGTGGTTTTACCCTTTAAAATATTTTACAAATAATATGTGCAATGTCATATTATATGCAAAATAATATATCTTCCCTTTTACATATATACTGCTACAAAATTATACTAAATATAAAATCTCAAATAGTCACTGCATTCGGTTCTATTTCTGAGATTAATGAAACCACAACAGATGGCCAAGACGACCAATTAGGCCATAACGAGTGAACACGTATCATTTTAGCACATAGATCACAGTAGCAAATAGTAACGAATGTGTCATTATTATTGAAAATCACTACCAAAGATTTAACTAAATAAATAGTTCTGTTATAGATGAAAATATAAACAAAAGAATAATTGATACAGCCTTTAGACAGTTTAGTACTGGCATCCAATAATAGCACAACTAATAAATCCAGTAATTAATTGCATATTTCAATTTGTTACTATTTTCATTTAAAGGTTGTTTCTGCGAGAATTTCTTATTTTAGTTTTGTTAGTCAGTAATGTATATTCAAAGTTAATTAGTCAAAGCCTATATTCAAACACAAACCCATTGGAAGGTAAATAAGAGTGAACCTAGTGAGTTTGTTTAATTACTTTGGTGATATTGCATGTGTGATCAAATGAAAACAATAAGGTTATAAATCACTCACCCCAAATATTAGCTACAGGAAGAACATCCAACTCTTTTTGTACCAAGAAATGTATCTTTTTCCCTTCATAATAATGTCTGAACAATATAACCGTGCCATTATCTAATGCTTTGTTACACTCCTGTGCTACATTCCAATTCTCACTTTTGTTGTCTGTCTTCGATACCATGTCAATAACAGTCTCAGTTTCGTGGAATATTTGATCGCAATACGTCTTGTTATTAAACATGACGCAATGAATGTATTCGCCAAGTTCTTGACAGCGTTTCTCAGTACAATCATCACAATGATCACAAAATGTCCCTCCATAGATATCATCTTTGCCCTCCATTTTATTACAGCTGCATTCACCGCAATGGCATTTGCCATTTCCGGAACACACCTAACAATAATTTAATATTTAGGTAAAATTTAAAATAATTATAAACAGATATATTGCATTTAATGTACATTTTAAATATGATCTAATTTCAAATTATGTTATTTATAAGGCCGAATTTTGTTTTAAAATAAAATTTTATAAAACAAAATATTAAATTAAATAGGTAAAAACACAGACTAGTTACTAATCTGTTACAGAATTAACTATTGTCAATATTATTTAAAATTAATTAGGTATTAATAAAACAAACAGACATATAAAAGATTCATACTTACACATTTATAATTAATGATAATTATAATACATATAAAAAAAGAATAGATTTTTTAATGATACCTTTAACAGCTGTGTGGTTCCAGCATAGATTGGACCAATCCATGCTGCCATAAGAGGCAACTTAGAGAACTTAATTTATCGAGGAATGGGTAGCAACATCCTTCTTAAGACATCACCAAAGCCTAACTGCGGTTTCCAATTCGCCTGCCAAGCGTGACAACTACTGACAAAACTTCCCCTTATGGAGGAGGCCTACATTTGTATAGGTATATATCAGCAGTAGATAGTTAAAGGCTGATATGATGATGATGATCCTAAATTTACTAGAAATGCTTATTTTAGATATTAACTTACTTTCCAAGTGGCAGCGAAATTATTAAGAGTTTTCAGTTTCAATTACCAACCTCTTTAGAATATGGCGCTATGCAGTCAGAATCATCTTCAGGGCAGCTACAGTCATTTCCAGTCCAATGAGCGTCACACTCGCACCTTCCCAGGCGGCATACTCCTCTATCTGCGCACAGCTTTCCATTAACACGTTCACACGCCTTGTCGTCGAATTGACAGAAATCTCCTGAAAATCCCTTAACGCATTTCGTACATTCACCACATCTGAAACAAATAGCTGAGATGTATGTCTTGACGACTGATAACTTATCACGTTTGGATGGTTGTGAATTCGACTCCCATTTTGTATTTGTGAGTATAATTGTTTATATCGATAATGATAAAAATAAATTTATTTGCAAACATGTGTGCTTAGTAGGTACAAAGACATATTGGTTATTTGTATTTGCATTATACAAATCCAAATATATGTAATATTTGGATTTGTATAGATCTAATATGTTTTACTAACAGCATGCAAAATATTTATCTAAAGACAGTGGCAGTTTTAAGTACCATACAAAATAAATTTAGGCTTCTTATCTATCTATGTATTACAAAATATATTAATGTTTTGTACAAATTACATATTAACTATTTTTTTTTTAATATTACTGTTAGAAGAGAATAATATTAAAAAATCATAAAGCATATACGAGGTCTGCAAAATATTTATCTAAAGACAGTAAGGCAGTTTTATGTCCCTAACAATACAAAATAAATTTAGAAACCCCGTCGGCATTCTTAAGAGCAGCGCGTCGTCTATCTATGTATTACAAAATATATTAATGTTTTGAGAGGGCAAATTCGATGTTCATTGTCCATCAAGAATAACTATTTTTTTTTTAATATTACTGTTAGAAGTTTTTGAGAATAATATTTCTTCTTGTTCCCAAAAACCAAATTGAAAAATCATTTCAAAACGTTGGCATATATGTCACAGGGGGAGTACTTTGAAGGGGATAAAATTTACAATAATAAAAAAAATTTTTAAAAAACTTTTATACGTCAAATAAATGTCAAATAAATGATATGTGTTATCTATATCTAATACGTATTAACATACAAAAGATAGAGAGAAGGAATTGTTAGCAATAGAGTTTGACAGCCTTATTGTTATTATTAGCTTTAGCCCTATTAGATCGACTTCCATGTAGTTCCCCCTGGAAACCATCGTGAACAATTCCTGATGAATTTGTCACGATGGACTAACTGACCTGCATCATTCTCACTTATCATCCTTTACTGGTGCCCCACCGGTGTATACCAATACCGCGGGTGGAGTTATCATTCCATTATCACCCATAAAAAAAACATACAAAAGAACTATATACCTATACTACCTACTAATACTTATAAGCTTTACTGAGTATAAGACGACTTAGTATAAGATAACGCTGTCTAATATATGTCTATTATCTATAGTATTTATTTATTTCTTCAGAAGTAGAAAACAAAACAATTGTACTCTAGTTTGTTGTCATCAAACCTCTTATTGTTATGCCTACTAAATTTTTTTTTTATTCACTGTTACCCGCGGTTTTCCATGCCTGACATCCTGTTTCCCCTTTTAGTTGCTTATGTTATAATAAATATAAATTTCAAATTTTAGCATTCTACATTTAATAATTACAGCTATATGTCGATAGTCTAGACAAGCGGGAAGCGGGGCAATACCAGAGGGAGACTTTGTACAAAAGTCGATTGCTTGGGTACCTCTGTCCCATTCGTGTTTCAACCATAAAGCAGTTGTGTTTGCATGGCTGTGTTTCGGTTTAAAGGGTGGGGTATGGCGTGAATTTACAGGGTACAGAGGAATAACACCTGAGTCCTCAGGAATGGCAACGCATGGGCGGTATTATGGGCGAAACAGTATACTCTGTTATGTCATATGATACTGCTCATGTCTATAGGCGACGGTTACCACTTTCCATCAGCTTGTTTGCCACTCTAAGTTAAAAAAAATCAATTTTATATATTAAATGCAGCAGTTTTAATCTCATGACAGATTACATATCTCATGACAGATAATAAGAATAACAAAATTTCTAAAAAAATATTATTTTGGCTTCTATTGCTCTTATTAAGACCTCTTAAATCACGTTTCCTTCAATATCTCCCGTACACTAACATAATCTAGTTACAGTTTTATTATATTATAAAAAAAATAAGACAAGTAGTAAGAATATTTACCTGCAAACGCCGCGTCCACTACACATATACACATCTGAGACATTCAACTTACATTTATCCAAATCTGTATTACTGGTCGAATTACCAAAACATTGACATTTATCACCATATCTGCAATGTAAAGCCTTTATAATTTTAATATTAATTTCTATAAATAGCATTAGATAGATAATACATGATTAGAGAGATAAACAAATTATTACAATATAGCATTATCTCTATAAGACAAAATAGTTACTCAATTTTAACCGCGATTTCATATGACTGAAATAACATTCATTGATTGACCGAGATAAAATATAAACTATGACTTTCTTCATCCCAAAATACTACGTATGCATCATATGTAATTCCAATTGGACAACAAATATAATTTCAAAATATTATTAGCAAGGAATCTCTTAAACAATTAGATAATATATGACTTCTTGTTCATAATTATTACTGAACTATGGTTAACAAAAAAAATTATCCCAATTAACCAATTATCTATTTAATATTTCAATGATTTATTAAGAAACACATTTCAAATAATAAATGTTGTTCTAAAAAAAACACCAACTGCAAATATAGCAAAATCAAACAAATAAACTACTAAGTCAATTTTGATATATGGTACGAATTATATTACCTTCCATCATAACAATTACATAGTCCACACTGCAATGTACCAGCTGAATTACATCTTTTAGAATTCATTTCACCACTTCCATGTTTTTCGCAATCACATTCACATACTACACCAATCTCTATAGTTAATGATTCTTTAAGATTTATTGGGTTTACTTGCATTGTAAGTGTATTATTTGGTGAGCAATTCTTAACTTCAAGAGTTGCTTTCATTGTCAAACTTTCATTGTGTTTTATTCTACAAATTCCTTCTTTAGAACAGTCAGGATCTAATGTTAATTCCACATTTTTAAGTCTATCATAATTTATCTGCGTGTGTTCAACAGATTTCTAAAAAGTAATTTACTTTTAATATAACATGTTATTTATACTTTATTGTACAAACTAGTAACACATACTAGAAATATGACAATGGAAAGTAAATGTACAAAGACGAGCTGAACTCTGCAAGAATTGTCTTTCAGCAAACCCAAAGTGGAAAGAAGCATCAATGTCAGCGAATAGAACAGTGTACTATACTGTGACAAATTACAACGAAAAAGAACTAGACAAGCTTAACATGATTAATTATATACACATTTACATGAATACATATAAATAAATCATATTCTTAAGATGCTCTTTAAATCTACTTTAAAAAATATTTAAGGGAATAACTATTAATTTTATATATTATCACAATAAAGGTTTGTCCAAAAAATAATTATTGTAATTCGGCCAAATACGAGCTTTTATTTTAATTATCACAAGTAATTTTACTTATCTCAAGTAAATCAGATTAATTATCTTCACATCAAAATATATTTGTTTCTAAAAGTAGTATAATCTTTTCCTAAATATACTAGTTAGGATTGATTATTTCGAAAATTAACCTAATTTTTATACTTATAATAAATAAATGTAATTTAGAAACACGAAGGAGCTATATTAAATCTAACATTAAATAGGAAGCTAACTTTATGTATTCAATCCTGTACAATCCTCTGTTATCCTGAAAATAGAATAATATATCGGGTTACATACCAAATATTCTTTCTTAATTATATCCACAATGTTGGACTTTTCTTTAAACTCAACATAATTTGATCCTTGTATACTTTTCTTCAATGCCTCATATTCTTTTTTAACGGTGTTTACTGCAGCAAATATAATTAGGAAAGCACCCTTTGATGCAACTCTATTAATTTGAGTAACAGACGGGTAGTCGTACTTTAAATCTGAATCATAATGTCCGTTGCTGTCTAAATGGCATTTCATGTCATTAGGAATGGCAGCTCCCACCATCTTTCCATCTCCAGCACTGTGGTATGTATTGTCTGTACAAAGCACTATAATACGTCTCGCCACTGGTCTCCATCCTAATTCTTTTTCACACTTCATAACTTGCATCAATGCATCGAGTCCTGCCTCCGGATCGTCATAATTGGACCCTTCAGGAATTTTCATTAAAACTTCTTCAAACATAGACATGTTTTTAGTTAATTTCAAATGATTTTTAAATGAATACGCTATATGTATATTGGGGCTGAAAATATATGTTATTGTTATATCCTATCTTGTTAATAAAATTACAAATATTATTCGTAATTTATTAATTAAATAACTTTTTAAACTCAAATAAAAAAAAAACATACTTAGCAAATGGGAAAGCTGGTTTTTCTACGAAACTTCCAACACCGAATTGTACATTATTAGTGAATTTTTCGAGTTCCATTAAAAGTTGTCTACCCTGTTGTTGAAGAATCTTCGTCTGAGGCCTCATTGTATAAGAGTGATCCATAAGATAATAAACATCTAAAGGAAAATGTTTAGCAGGCTTGTATGACATATCAAAACTAAAAGGCACTCCTGGACGCATTTTTATTTTTAAATGCTGTGGTCGAAACTGAACAGGTTTAATTGTAGGTGTTCCTGGTGAAAATTCATCGTTTTGTTTCATAATTTCATTTATAGGTTCTGGATTCACTATATATTCTTTTTTGCACCACTTTGTATTATATTTGTAATCCTCTGTTTGACATCGTTTTTCGGAAATGTCCTGTGGCTGTAATGGTGATATAAAAATCTTTAGGGAGAAAATTCATAGTGGCAAACGTCTAGAATAAATATAATTGTAATTATTTACTTTACAAAAATTAAGAAGCAGAAGTATTTAATGTAAATCTGATTGCTGGTACTGCCCTTAATCCATGTTAAAGAGCAACCTTTGATTCGCGGGTTTCGAAAGTAGAGTATAAAGTTATAGAGACCATGCACAAAGATGTACACGCAAGTGGTACAAAACTGTAATATTTATTCTATAGGTACAAATCATCTTTAATCAGTAAATACAATAGACAAATTATATGCTATAATACATCAAATACAAAATGATAATTAAAAAATAATTAATGTTGAAAACGACAAATGTTTTACAATAAGATCACTTTGCTTTGAATTTTATCCAAGTAAAAAATACTAATTTCTTAATTATTTATATTAACATGTGATCCCGGCATAAAACGGGCCAACCTTTCCTTTTCAGTGAGTGTCGTATGTGACGACTAAGGGAACTTAATGGTCGAGGTCTTAAGTGTAGCTGCGTTCTACATAAAACATCACCAAAGCCTAACTGTGGTTATCAATTCGCCTGTCAAGCGTGGCAACTACTGGTAAAACCTTCCTAAGGGAAAAGACCCATGTTTAGCAGGAGACAGTTAACTATAACACCACTCGAAAGTCTAGATTACGGAAATAATTTTGGTATCTAGGTAGAATGCTAGTAGAGTCAAGAACAAAATAAAAATAATGTAAGACGAGTTTCATATTTTTACAATATTGCAATATTAAAAAAAAATCTCCACTAAGAGAACTTCCACACATAAAGAGGATGACAATAAATATAAAATAAGCCATGTACATTGTTTTTTTTTTCTGCATTCATGTAAATAAAAATATAAAAAAATTAATACTCTTTTCAAATATCTAAGTATTTTCAATAATTTAAAATTATACAAAAAATTCATTGTAGGTAAATCGTTAACTTTGTTTTTTTTTATTTATCGATTTCGGGTGTGGTATAACAATTATACTTTTTCCTTAAATAATACACCCACTAACAATGTTTATACGTATACATAAATAAAAATGTTTGACTAAATGCATTGCCAAGAGCAAAACTTAAAAACGGCTGGACCATTTCGTTGCAATCTGAAAAAGGTTCTTGTTTATTTTATTTATTTATTAATGGGGATTTATTCCTGTTAGAATATGTCTCCCATAGACAAACATAATACAATGTAAGTCTTTACATTCACGTCACAATTTTATATACATTTTAAGCCTCATTAGACAGAGCCAGTGATAAGATAGAATTGTATCTGCCGTATATTTGCCATCGGTCATCAACGATTGTGGTAGAGGCTTGACCCGAACGCATCTGCCAAAACATGATAAACATGCAACGTATTGGATTTTCTGCTTAGGAAACCGAATATGGATATAAAAGGAATATGTCCAGCGCGCAATCTCAAGGCCAACACAATGTCTTGCCTGAGGACGGTTCTTTTAGAAAGGGTAATTGGCATAATTGATATTTTTTTTATACCATGAAAGGTGAAGAGTGGGTCGTTACATTTTTTTTTCATACATATTATTCCTTCTTGCCGTTTCATTTCGTATCACAGATATTTATTGGCATTGTTTCCAAAGCCGCTCAGACGAACTTAATGAAATTTTATAAATGCGTCTTGTTTAGTTCAACTTGAGAGATAGAACAGTTTTTGTCTTGATAAGAAAAATTGAATCCTATATAATAGGTGACGGTAGGAGCAAAACAACGTTCAGGCTCGCGCTTGCATCGCAACCGCTCGTGATTAAGGGTTATTAATTGATTCCGAAACTAGTTAAACTTTTTCGATCTAATTACACATAAATTAAACCGGTAGTTATTACATTCAAACATAATGTGTGCTTTCAAACGTTTATCAATAAAATAACATTTGTTACCTAATAATATAATGACATAGAATAACATACCGCAGAGCACCATATACACCTGGCACCAGCAAATCCGATACATTTCCCACACGAATTTTCAAAACTATCACAAGTAATATTAATCCCTTCAGATATTTGTAGAATTACATATAATATCAATACACTTATTATTTTACTCATCTTGGCAAGGTTTTAGTCACATGTACTATTTTATAAAAAAAAAAATATTTACTGCAATGTTGGAATTAAAAGAAAACATAAAAATAACAAATATTCATGTTATTTGTTACTATTGGTCATTAATATTGGTCATAATAGAATGGTTAAAATTGATTAATTATAACACATTATTATCAAGAAGGAAAACCTATATAATAACAGTCATAAGTAAGAAAAATATAGCAAACATTTAAGGGTCAGACATCACTTACGTCCTATTATCTTTTGATATTGTTTTGTCGTATTAAATACATCATAAATATGTATAATAGACCTAAATTAAGCCCAAAGATTATATTTTTTCATTTTATTTACTATATGTAAGTATTAGCATAGACAATAAAAGTACTAGCTATGCTAGCGATGTATTTCATTTTTTCATAGCAATAAGAAATTATACAGAGTAAAAATTATCATAAATTAATAAATATTCACAACCAGAGGTCCACAAAAATAAAGTGACTTCAAAATTGTGATAGGACCAGCTATATTGATTTAAAAACAAACTTACTGGACCGATTTTAATACAGTTTCTATGGGACTAATCTGTAAAATGGATCTATCTATATCCTTTCAAATTAAAAAAAGAACTTTCCAAATCGGTTTATAACTGACGCAGTTATGAGTAACAAACATAAAAAAATATAACAGATTTGAAAACCTTCTTCTTGTTTGAAGTCGGTTGAAAAAGGTAGCCAAGCTTTGTTGGAATTATCACATAAATTAAATTTAATATCAAATCGAAACGTTCAAGGATATAATCAATTTTGTATTTATAGTCTGATAAATCAATATTTTCATTTCTATTGAAATAGATTTTTATTATCTATCATCACAACATCAAATTCAATAAATATCTGTCCCATAGTTTCCGCCTAATGTATACACAGATATAGAAAAAATGTAAAGATCTCTGAAAGGTGCCAGTAGTTACCACGTTTGGCAGGCAGTGAAGCTTTTAGTGATGTTTTAAAAACGACGCTGCAGCTCATTCCTTGATATTTAAATTCCCTTAGTCGCCTCTTACGACACCCACAGTAAAAAAAGAAAGGTCCCATTCTATACCGGAACCACACGTCATGATCACGCCTAAACAGCTGAGGAGATTTTAGTAGAATTTTACGAGTATAGAGAAATAGTTCAAACATATGATTACATCATGGACGATCACTGCATTGAATTCTAGAATACTTTTTATCCTAATAATAATCCTCTTACGGATATAGCAGCAGTTTATAACTATTTATAGTTCAAACAGCGAAACAGTAAAAAATAAATGTGAAAAAATATAAAAACAAAATGATCTTGCCTTTAATAACTTTTATTTACTAGTACCTAATGGGTATATGTAATAATGTACCGATATATAAAATACTTTATTATCCTTATGCCGTTTTCCTGAATATTGTTTGTGCCATGTATCGAAACCTATTTAGGATCAGTACAAAGTTCAGCACGTCATTATCTTAGTTGAGAATGAATTACCTTTTATATTTAATCTCCTTTCTGGTGATCAATGAAGTTATTGCATTGGATCCTTGTGAAAAGAAGACGTCTTGTGGAGACTGCATTACTGATTCAAATATTTGTGTATGGTGTTCAATGGTACGTACATTTATTTAAAAAGAACATTTTGGTCCATACTGTTGCACTAATCGCCGTGTGGTCCCGACATAGAATGGGCACCCCTTTCTCATGGATGTCGTATGAGGCGACTAAGGGAATTTAATGGACGAGGAATGGGCAACAGCATCTCTCTTAAAACATCACCAAATACTAATTGCAGTTGCCAACCCTTTTGCCAAGCGTGACAACTACTGGAATAACCTCCTCTTATGTTGATCAGTGGACGTGTTGAATAAATCAGCAGTTAACGGGTGACACGATGGTGGTGAGTTCCATTAAAAAAAAATATAAGAACTATTTTTTTTTTAATTTAAACTAGCAGTCGGTTTTTATTCAATTAAAAAAGCATTCGACATTCAAGAGCATTTTACTCATAGTACCTACAATTGCGGAAACAAGGATAGTTTGACAGTCATCAACTTCGAGCTGGTGCACCACTAGCTTGTTTCTAGCTAGCTCATTAAAATGTGTTTTTTTTATTTACAGAACAATATAACGGGTAAAAGATGCAAGTCTATGAATTTATATACAAAAACATGGTGCCCAACCTTAGTAGAAATACCAAAGAATGTAATGGAATTGCCGAGAACAGATAATAAAAACTTTAGTTCTGATCCAAACGAAGTAATACAAATTAGACCACAAAAATTAAAAATGAAGCTGCGTGTGGGAGTTCCTATGAGTTTTAATTTTTCTTTTAAAGCAGCCGATGACTACCCTGTAGATTTGTATTTTCTTCTCGATGTATCTTTAACTATGACAGATGTTAAAAAGGAGATAGCAAATCAAAGTGAAAATATATATATTACATTGAAGAATCTCACAAAAAACGTTCATCTAGGAATGGGTGCATTCGTAGACAAGAATGCCTTGCCATTTACGCAGTATGTTAATCTTAGCTTTGCTTAGCGTTAGCAAAAAATAATTTAAAACACTGATATTTAAACAGTACTTAACAAAACTTTTAGTCATTAAACATTATTTAGTCGATTTAAAGTTTATTTGTAACTTTATATACCACAGTCTATAAACTATTGTAATGCAGGTATTACTTTAAATAACTTTTATTTGAATAACATAGACTTTCTATATACATAAAACGTGTTTAATATTTGTTTATGTCTAAACAAGATATAAACTGTCGTATTAACACGAAGGAAAGAGAAGAATTCATGCGCCACTTTAACTTAAATAAATTGAATGTTGGTCTTATTCAATCTATGTTAGCTGAACTTAAACCAGAAATTTTTGAACATCTCTGTAAATTATTGATGCCCATTAATTCTTCTTTTTCCGCGTCTAGGGAAAGTAGATAAAGTTTTGTTTGAGAAAGCAGTTCAGGGTACAATAGGACTGATATACCTGAAAAAGGTGAAAGCCCTTAAAATAATATTAAAAAAAAAAAGACATAAACAAATATTAAACACGTTTTTATGGTAATACGTTTAAACATGTATTGAACATCTGTGTTACGCAATTTTAATAATTAAAATATTATAAGAGAAGATAAAAATATTATAAAGTAGGAAAGATTTGACTTTTTCCTTTATAATGGATAAACTAAAAAATTATTAAACCGATTATAAAAATTCTTTCATCTATAAAAGCTACATTATCAGCGAATACCAGGGGCTGTACCTTATTATAATAAAAGATAATAAAGATCTCTACTCGTCCATCCGTGCGAAGCCAGAGCAGGTTGTTGGTTTTTAATAAAACTCTATTTTGGTTAGACATAAACAGATATTACATATATATACGACAAAATTTAGTAAAATGTCTGAATAAATTTTGAACCCGTCTCTGTTTTTTCTATTATATTATTACGAAAATCTTATTTTATATTTACAGAAAAGTGAACAGCAATGTGACTTATTCTTTCCGGAATCATTTAAAATTAACTAACGCATCAGAAAAATTTAGAGAAATTGTAAAAAATGTACCGTTTGGAGAAAATTTCGATGCACCAGAAGGAGGCCTAGATGCATTAGCTCAAGTGTTGTCCTGCACTGATGAAATTGGTTGGAGAAAGCAATCGAGAAAAATAATCGTATTATTAACAGATGCAGAGTATCACGCTGCAGGCGATGGTATAGCTGCAGGAATATATAAACCATATGATGGTAAATGCTATACCAAAGACGGTCTTTACACTAAGGAATTGGATATGGATTACCCGTCCATCAGTATTATTAATAAATTAGCTACAAAAATAGAAGCAACAATTATATTCATTATATACAGTGATTCTCATCTTAAAACTTACAAGGCTTTAAGTGCAGCCATTGAAGGATCGAAAAGCATACTAGAAACTAAAAGCAAATCTAACGAAGTTGTTAAGATTTTGGAGACAATTTATGAAGTAAATATTTAATTATTACATTTTCCAAAAAAAAAAACTTTATATAAAAGTTGTCTTCATGAATCCCTCTATTCCACTCGTGTTTCTGTCGCGAAGCACCTGTGCTTGTATAGCTGTATTTCAGTATGAATAGTGTAATATGGTAATGAAATTGCATGAAGATGTAACAACACCTTAGTTACAAAAAAAGCAATGCATGAGGGATATCATAGCCATAATATTATATTCCGTGAAATTCATGGTGCTAGTCAATATACATAATCGACGATTACCACTTTTTATCTGTTTACTCTCAATTCCACTTTTCATGAAAAAATATAAATATTTTCACAACTATAATGCGTATATATGCTGAATACCCTATGTATTCAGAGTAAATTGTGGATTACTGCTGTTATAGGAAAAGCAATACTTAGCATACTCAAATTTAATATAATAAATAATATAAAAATATAATAAATCTTTACGTAGCAAAGTGTGAGCTTACCACCTTCCAATTTTAACTATTATTTATTTTATCCAAATAATTGAAATTCAGTAATTAATATTAATTTAGCCAGAATTGTTGACGACATCTTTTATAAAATGTATGCATTTGTTTTATCAACATTAAAAACTGGTTATTTATTTTCAAGGAAATATGTAAAACTGTAAAGTTAAAAGCCAATATGAAATCTGAACAAAGAAAAGATATCGCAATAACGTTTAATCCTGATTGTACTGGTTTAACAAAGGATAAAGAATATTGTAAGGTTATGAAAGGTGAAGAGAAACACTTCACAGGTACTATAAAACTTATGGAATATCACGAAGGCGATGATATGCCAATAGACATAGTAATAGAAGGTATTAACGAAAGATTATTATTGGATATAGAAGTTGTGAAACAATGTGAATGCGAAAATGGAAGAGAAATCAATTCCAAAGAATGTAATGAAGGAGGAACTTTAGAATGTGGAATTTGTAAGTGCAATTCTAACAGGTAAGGCCCGACAATTTTTTTTTAATGCAAGTCTTTAAAATAACAAGATAATAATAACAAGAATATGTTTACTGGTTATTTATTTATTTTTTGCAGATATGGTGTTAATTGTGTGTGTACTAAAAACGAGAATAACTTCGCAAATGACACATCGACTTGTATACCCAACGATGACCCGAGTGGCACAATATGCAGCGGACGTGGGTCGTGTATTTGTGGAACATGTCATTGTTCAACTTTTGGGTAATATTGAATATTATTTTTTTGTAAAATTTACTGAAAATTTTAGTTTTAACCACAGAAACTATAATATTCTATTAAAGAAAAAGAGATATTATCAAAAAAATAAACTATAGTCTATGTCAATAGAAGATAGTGAAAAAGTCTAATTTAACTTGGTAACAAATCGAAACATTTAACTATTAAAACTTTTTATTTGTATGCACTATTATTGGTCATCAGCACATTCTCGTTTGCCGTGTAGGTCCTGACATAGGACAGGCCGCTTCTTCCTTTGCTTAGCAGAATCCCTCTTAAAATATCATAAAAAGCCTAACTGCGATTGCCAACCCACCAGCCAAGCGTGGCAGCTACTGGCAAAATCCTCCTTTATGGAGAAAGCCTATGTTCAACAGTAAGCAGTTAACGGCTGATATGGTATAATATGGTACACTGTCGAGTTTTGTTGGACTAATTAATTGTTTGTTAACGTTTTCATTAGGTTCTATTAAAATAGAGTATAGTCAGATAATGCTGGCAACTACGTCAAACAATGAAATAAAAGTTTCAGTAATACTAAGATGTTTTCGTTTTGATGCGGCGATAATTCATATTTTATTAATGTATCCTACGTCCCTGATGGTGCATATTAAGAAAACATCATCAATTTCGAACATTTCTAATAAATTAAAATCTCACAGGATAGAAAATCAGATAAGATAATTAGACTTCGTTTACCAGAGGGAGACTTTGTACAAAAGTCGTTTGCTTGGGTACCTCTGTCACATTTGTGTTTCAACTGTGTGTTTGCATGGCTGTGTTTCAGTTTGAAGGGCGTGAATTTACAGGGTACAGAGGAATAACATCTGAGCCCTCAAGAATGGCAACGCATGGGGGGTATCATGAGCGAAACAGTATACCCTGTTATGTCCATGGTACTGCTCATGTCTATAGGCGACGGTTGCCATTTTCCATCAGGTGGGCCCGTCAGCTTGTTTGTCATTCTAAGTTGTATAAAAAAAAAGACTATCAATTTTATCGAGTGAAAACTTAATTAATGAAATTATACTTTTTATAGAAACAATGACAAGAAATACACTGGTACGTACTGTGAATGTGATAATGAAAGCTGCTTGAGAACTAGCAACGGTATATGCAATGGACATGGTGTTTGCGAATGCGGCAATTGCACATGTCATGCAGACTGGACCGGTGCCGCTTGTGACTGTCATGAAACAAACGTAGCATGTACTAATAATGACAAGGTACATTTCAATATCCAATATTTTTAATAATTTTTCAACCAACTTAAAAAAGGAGATTCTCATTTCGGTTGTTTTTTTTTCTAATTATCACCTCAGAACTCAACTGTAAACTGATTTGGAGAATTCTTTTGTTTTCATCCAAAAGGATATACTTGCAGATTGATACCATAAGATTTTATCAAGATTAATTCCGTAATTAAGTTTTTAAATAACAATAACTGGTTTTTAAAGAATGAATGAAGGAGTATACTTTATTTGCATTATATAATATAGAAAATAAGCAAGACAGTTTTGCCACAATTAAAAAAGTTTTTTTTTTTTTTTGTGGAACAAAATCTTATTTTTATTCTGATTTTTGCTGAGACTCCAATACACTTAAATGACTATACCAATTATATAAGGTATATTTGTATGTAAGAATTATTTTTAATTGTTACAATTCAATCTATACATACTAATCGGAATAATTTTTATCTTCTATTTGAAGTCTATACTGACTATTATTTTTTCCTATTAAATTCAACAATTCTATATTCATTTATAACCATTGAAGTTAGAACTTACTTCACAAAGTAAGAAACAGTTAATTGCCAAGCACAGTTTAAACAAAAATTTTACATTACATACATACATACATATCTGTCACGCCTATCTCCCATTAGGGTAGGCAGAAACAATGGAGATTTTACATTCTAAAAGGAAATATCTCCTATCCAACGTGTCTATAAAATATTATTCATAAGTATGTCAGTTCACGATTCATGTGGTAGTTTTTACTGAACAAAATATATTGGTTATTCCAAAAGATACAATTTATAGTTAATGTAACATGATGTTATGATATTATATTATTTATATTTAAATGAAAATAATATCATGCATTCGGATCATTAAACAAACGTCTTTATTTAACTTGCACATTTTTTTTATTCCTATTTATTCATTGATTTTTTTTGCATACCCATAATTATACGATTCTTTCAGTTATGCAACGACCAAGGCGAATGCGTTTGTAACGAATGCAAATGCAGAAAACCGCCGCATTGGGACGCGCGTAAGGATTTGAATGAATTCTGCGAAATCTTACCGTGCGCTGACTGTCCTACACAATGTAGTTTGTTGGAGGAGTGCGTTCTCTGTTTACACCAACATTTCGACGCTCTCTCTCTCGATTCCTGTCCTATATGTGACCCCTTTAAAATCACCTTTATCGAAAAATTGTCAGAGACAAAGGAGTATAAAGAGAATGTAACATGGAATGATTGCCCAGAAATTAGTGTCGGGTTCGGGTGCTACACGCCTTACCATTACCGATATATTGGAATAGATGACATTGAATTATTAGTTCAAAAAGAGAAGAATTGTCTAGAAAATTATTATTGTAAGTTTATAATAGATTTATATTTAAAAATTCAGACCTCTAAATCGGTATTCCTTTTTTAACGTTGAAACTTGAAAGTCAGTGAATTTAAAAAAAATATTAACAAATTTTGAATCATAGCAAATGCAATTTCATCCCGATACACATCCAATCCACATAATTTTATTATAAAAAGAAGAAAAATTCTATATAAAAAATTATATTGATTTTAGGAAATAGAACTTTAAACGAGATTTTCGCGAATAATAAATTGTTTATTTTATAAAAGATTGTAGGTATGTAATTGTACAAGTTTTCTGTAATTATACACGTTTGAATTTGAGATATGGTAATAAAATCACAGGGAGAAAACAGAGATATAATACCTCAGTCTACGCGAATAACAATGTATTTTGCCATTCCAAATTGCATAAAAAATATACTCGAACTATTCTCATTAACATGCTCTTAATAAATGATCATAACTGTCAAACACAAAACTAATTCTTTATTTCTGCAGCTATATAACACCATAGTGTAATGCATGAGATGTACCCAATTACAGAAAATTCTGTAACGTCCACGACGCTACTCATGTTTATAGGCCATGTTTACCGATTTAAAAGGGCCGGCAGCTTATTTACCATTCTAAGTTCCATAAACAAAGTAATAATATGAAACTTTCAGTACTCGGCGGAACATTCTTGGGAACTCTTATTTTGGTGGGAATAATAACACTAGTCAGCTGGAAGCTTTTAATCGACGCACGTGACCGGCGGGAGTACAAGAACTTCATGAGGCTGGAACGACTCTCGAGTATCAGGAACAACCCTCTCTATGCAGGACCCACTACTACCATAAAAAATCCGACTTATGATTGTGATTAATATAAATAAATAATAATATATAAACAAATAATCTCTATTATAGTATGAATTCACCTTCGTATTAATTATTTTTTTGAGAACTCTTAACCTCATACTACCTAGTGACCTAAAGTCGTTTGCTTGGCCCCCTCTGTCCCATTTGTATTTCTACTCGTACTGTGAAGCAGTTGTGTTTGCATGGCTGTGTTTCGGTTTGAAGGCTGGGATATGGCAGTGAAATTACAGGGTACAGAAGAATAACACCTAAATCCTCAGGAATAGCAAATCATGGGTGAAACAGAATACTCTGTTATGTCCATGGTACTGCTCATGTCTATAAACAACGGTTACTACTTTCCATAAGGTGGGCCCTTAGCTTGTTTGCCACTCTAAGTTGCATAAAAGAAATCATATTTAAAATTTTACTCAGATTGTTACAAAATAAATGCAGTATTTCCTATCTGATTTTCTATCAGGTACCTAGCATAAACATTGATTATATTGTTGTTTAATATTGTACTCGTAGTTAAATTTTGCACTATTTACAGGTTAGCTAGCTCTTATCCGCGCATTATATATATATATATATATATATATATATATATATATATATATATATATATATATATATATATATATATATATATATATATATATATATATGATAGCACATCTTCCATTATCATTCATTAAAAAAACTAGGTATATTCATTGATAGGGATAAAAAGATTATATCGTTTTCTGTCCCAAATACTAAAATAAAAATTTCATGACAACTGGTTGAGCCGTTAAAGTGATAAGAAATAACAAATAATAAAACTAACTTTCAGATTTATTGTATGAGTAATAATAATAAAAACAACTAGGTTTATTCAAAATAAATAATATACTCGTATTCCTGATCTCAAATATGTAGATATGATTGATTACTTAAAGAATAGAAAGCGAGATCTGTGATATGAAAAGTCTGTAACTCATAATTGTACTATTTTTTTAGAATTATTAATCAAAATGAATTAATTATTATATCGAACAAGGCCCATACTCGTATGTAAATTTAATTACATACCTAATGATTTAGTCGAAGAGTGAGTCAAAAGAAAAAAGAAAATTATATTTATCGAACTCTTTCTAATCACGTATTCACAAAAATGTGTTTAAACTATATTTTTTTTGATCAATAACAATTAAAAAAAAAAATAAGATTAATTGTGATAACGCCTGATATTTATGATTGAGCAATCATATAGATATGTAAAAATAGTTGGCACAATTCTTCCATTGTCTTGGATAATCTGAAAAAAAAAATGTTTATGTAGTATCTATGAAAAGACCAAAACAAAATTAGAAAGACACAATTGATAATTAAAATTATTAACTAATGGGTAACTAATAACAACATATTTTTGTAACGGTAGATAAGTACCATCTTCAAATTCTCATGTTGTATGTATAACGTGAATAATGTATCATTATATGTAATATAGTGTACTAACGACCCACACTAGCTTCACACATACAAACCTATTAAAAAAAAACTATAAAGAACAATGAACCCATATCAAATTGTTTGCTTTAAAGGAATTAAGCAGAACAACAGAATGTATTTGCTTTCCAAAAAAAAATACTACCTTCAACTACTAAAATAATATTGGCCTCCAATCCATAAAAACGTCCCTTAAAAATTAATACACTATAATTATTTTATATATAACCAAAACCATAATCCTGTTATTTTGAATAAAAAATTTACGATTGAACTAATTTTGATGAAATCCTGGTTGATAGTATGCCCTATCAAATAAAAAATATCCAATTCGATTTATAAATGACGGACTTCTGAGATAACAAACATAAAAAATACAACCGAATTGAAAACTTCCTCTCCAATGTTTGAAGTCGGTTACAAAACAGACAAACGCGAACAACGACATTGTTTCAAACTATTTGAGTATAAAATTGTTAAGGTATTATTTAATTAGTGTGTAATACACGCAGGATAATACAATGATGATAATATTCATCTTAACGTAATTTCCGCGAATTTTCATAGCGATGCCCGATGCATGATTCATCTTTGCTCAAAGTGTCTTTTGATCAAGTGACGTGGGTCGTTTACAGTCTGTGACCGAACGCGGGTGTGAACGCGCGCATTTTGTAAATCGAATACTCCTCGATGTATCGTTCGAAAAATTTAAATTCGAATTAAAAAAAGAACATTACAATTACGCTAAATTATCTCTTTTTTTAATAAATTATAATGTTTATAAAAACTAAAAAAATGCCGGTTAGTGTGTGGTTTGTGCTCGTGTTATTTTGTATGCAAGAAGTTTTTGCAATTGATTGCACAAAAAGTATAGAAGATATTAAAAATTGCAATGAGTGCGTCAGATGCGGCGGTGTATGGTGTAATAAACCAAGAGTAAAAGGGGTAAGTGATTTGTTTATTCTTAGAGTTTATTATACAAAATATTATAATTCCTATTGAAAATTACAGACTTTAATGTTTTCTCCGAAATACAAAACATACTGAAAATTATAAGAATATTAGGCATGAGGGTACTCAGATAAATTATAAAACAAAATCAAATATAACAAAATCAAATATAAAGCTCATATCATAACATATACGTTTCGTTTATTTATCATACCTAACATATAGGTGTCTAAATTAGAATGAAGGACCTACTTTAGTTTAATTTTTATTTTATATCAATCATTAAAATAAAATAATATAATTTTTGTTTTATTAGTTTTACTTAGTTTAATATACCTATTAAAATACAATACATAATAATTCTTCTCTTACTATTTTTAAAAATTATTATCAACTCTATAATCTCAAATGCATAAAAAAAATCTCTAGAAGATATCCAAAATAGAGTTTTGTGTTCAATATTGAATCTTTATTTTATACTTCAACTAATTTTTAGTCAATTAAGTGTTCCATTCTTCTGGAGTTTAATATGTGTTTATTAATTTTGGTTACTGACTGTACATTATTACATAACCTATACTTGGATTAGTAAAGATGCAAAACTATGCATCCCCATTCAATACTTTCCTTCAAGGCCAATCCAATCGTATTAATAAAAGGAAAACCGTAGATGTACGTACCAACGGAAGGAAACAATTGAATCAATAAGACCGGCGGTCACTGCTCAAGCATGCAGACAAATCTATTTTTGAACCTATCATATTTTACCTAAACTAAAGCTGACTATATTGGATTGAAAATAATTGGATCACATTAAATAATTTATTGTTCTTGTTGAACAAATATACTGTATATGTTAATAGCTGGCTATGGTCAAATGTTAAGTATTTTGATTGTGATTATAAAATAACTGGATCCTCTGACTAAATAATTACATTCACAATCAGCTTTTGCTTATCATGTTCTTTGTTTATGTCCTACTATCAAAATAATGTTTGTCCATGTGTAATAAGGACAAACATGTTCGTCAACTCTGGAATATTAGTAATGTTATATGTGGTATATAGTCTGATACATATATAGTATCTGGAACATTAGTAATAGTAGGTATTCCTACATTAATAAAAAAAAAATCGAATTTGTAATGTTATAAATGAAGAAAAATCAAAATAAGCATAGGCAACAAAGGATAGCTAGAAAGACCTGTATCCAAATAAAAAAAAATTATCTCTAGCAAAACCATAGAGTAAGTAATGATTAGATTTTATGATTATGAGGGCACTGTTAAAACATTGCCCTCATATTCATGGAATTGGAATACATATTTATTCGATCACCTAAAAATTTCAATAAAAATAAATGAATGTTAAATACAGTTTTATTTCTGATATACTTGGGTCCGAATTATCGAATTATTAATATTGATAATTATCATAAAAAATCTAGCTGTTTGATTGTGTAATTTTTCAAATTTAATGAATTGGTTACATAAATTTCATACGAACACTTTATTGTTCGAAATGACGTGAACGCGAGCATAACTTTATTCATAGAAAAAAAAAGCTAAATAGCCCGCCTGTGCTTGTATATGCTGGCGGAGCATCAGTGAGGGACGATAGGTAAAGATGAAATCAGACCAGTTGGCCCATCGTGACTAATTCTATAAGAATTAACCACCATGATTTCTGGGAAAACCGCTTAAAAGACGGCCTAAAAATCTATCCTCCCCTAAATACTTAGCAATAACATATTTACAAAAATGATTCTATTAAAGCCTATTCTTATTTCCCAGTGGGAGACTGTACAATAGTCGTCTGCTTGGATACTTCTGTTCAATCCATGATTCTGTCATGAAGCAGTTGTGTTTGCATTGCTATGTTTTGTTTTGAAAGGTGGGATATGACAGTAACATTATACGGCAACATATAAACGGCAGCATCGATAAGAACGCAACGCATGAGTGGTAACAATATACTCTGTTATGTCTATAGTACTGGTCTTGTCTGTAGGCGACGATTACCACTTTCTATAAGGCGTGCCGTCAGCACAAAAGTCGCTTGCTTGGGTACCTCTGTCCCATATGGCGTGAATTTACTGGGTACAGAGGAATAACACCTGAGTCCTCAGGAATGGCAACGCATGGGCGGTATTATGGGCGAAACAGTATACTCTGTTATGTCATATGATACTGCTCATGTCTATTGGCGACGGTTACCACTTTCCATCAGGTGGACCGTCAGCTTGTTTGACATTCTAAGTTGTATAAAAAAAATTATGCATTCCAACGGTTTCCAGCAATACATTTTTTTATTCAGCCATTCTAGGCTGCATAAAAAAATGTAGTAGCCGCAGGTTACATCTAGTAAGTAGGGTAGGGCGGGGCTAAAAGTCCGGCGGGTAAAACATGAAGCACACTAGAAACAAAAGATCTACGTGATTTGGAGCGGGGTGAGGGGCGAGTACAAAGCCGAGAGTCGCCAGTCGTAACGAAACGCACATGCGAGTAACACGATTAACGAAATTTTTTGGCACTCAAAAGTGAAAAAAAATTTTGTTTTTGTTTTTTTTCCTACATCGGCATTGAAATTTAATAAATTATTAAGGTAAGCTCGTATTACACTGTTATTCTATATATAAATAATGCAACAATATTTTCTAGATATTAACCGTCTTTGTTTTATAACCGCGTAAATCACTGAAGGTAGTACGGGGCAAGATACTTCTTGCCTCGCGATTTTTACCCCATGTTTTATTTCAATAAACATACTTAATAATATTGCTTTTTTGTTGTTTTAGAATGCATTACAAGAAAAAGACAGATAGAGTTACTATGTCCGTAGATATAATTAAGAGGGCTGCAAATGAGGTAATTAATGGTGAGAAAAAACTGTGTCACACACAATATCTGTAGGAATTCCCTTAAAAGGTTTATTGCGCGATACAAGAAAGAACCAAATAATGTAACTTTTGGATACCTTCTTACACGTAAAATTTTTACTGCAGATCAAGAGAAGAGTTTAAGCGATTATCTGCTTATGGTTGCTCAAATGTTTTATGGCCTGGGTCCTAAAGATGTACGTCGCTTAGCATATGATTGTGCTATTAAATTTGCAATTACTGTACCTGATTCTTGGCAGAAAAATAAAATGGCAGGAAAAGACTGGATGACAGCTTTTTTAAAAAGGAACCGATCTTTATCTATTCGAAAACCCGAGGCTACAAGTCTCAGTAGAGCGACTTCCTTCAATCGTTCAAATGTTCATGATTTTTTTAATAAGCTGGCTCAAGTAATGGATAAGTATACATTTACAGCTTCTTCTGTTTGGAATATAGATGAAACTGGAGTTTCGACTGTGTTAAAGCCTTCAAAAATTGTTGCTGCGAAAGGAAAACGCAACGTTGGCTCTGTTACATCTGGAGAAAGGGGCACTAATGTCACCGTTATAGTAGCAATCTCGGCTACAGGTTCTCATATCCCTATGTTTATTTTTCCGAGGAAAAATTATCACGATCACTTCGTTCGTGATGGATCCTTTAATTGATTGTTTTTCTAAGTTTATGTTATTTGATAACATTCTTGAGATTATCTTGATTATAACTATTAAAATATTTAATTTCAAATAAAAGATATTGATTTTCAAATAATCTTATTTCATTTACCCTAATTGATCAATCTACTTAGCCATTAAGACGAATGGACTTTTTACCCCCAGCGTGGGACTTTTTACCCCGCGAGGGGGGCAAAAAGTACAAAATTCCATCTTGCCTTTAACTCAAAATTTTTAATAAATCTAATAAATAGTCATGCTTTTTATTATTTAAGTGTAAAGCTAATTTGTATAAGGTTTTTGCAACTGCTTTTGTTGACTGTAAGTACTCTATTTTACAATCTATGTATCTAGTAGTGAAAATTGGGACTTCTAGCCCCGCCCTACCCTACCTAATAATGTCAAATTGAATCTGCGCTTGTTATATCCTCAATTTCGCAATGACATCATCATAATAGTGATCACAGAGAACACACATACTATTATTTTCAACGTACGTATTGGAATACATATACCTTTTAATGGAATTATTCATTCATAATAGGTACTTTATGTGTAAGACAAATGAAAAACTTCGAACATAAGTCCTCTGCTGGATACTCGTTCATATTTCTACCACCCAGCAGCAGTATTTACTTAGGTAACTGTGTTTTATATTAATAGCTTAGTTTAGACTAGTTTTATTTGATATTAATTATGAGTACTTAATGAAAGGTATGGGCATAAAAATGAACATATAACATATATGCTTCAGCAACAGTAAATATATAATAAATTGTTGTTAAGTTATTATATTTTATTGCCTAGTTGCCTAATTTTTTAACTAATAATGTACATACGTATTGTCGATTGTGGTACAATAAAACTAACTTTATTACCTATGTTACTTTTTGTAAATAGACTATATCTCCATATGGAAGATATTTAAGTAAAAATTATATGCTTATTAAATTATTTATTACTAGCGGCCCATCCCGGCGTCGCACGGGTGGACATTTTTACATTTTATAAAGTGGCCATTAAGGCTGCACACGCGACGGAAGCTTAAAAATGGAGTAACTTCTCCCGTTTTCCCAACATTTCCCTTCACTGCTCTGCTCATATTGATCGTAGAATGATGAAATGTATGCTATAACCTGCTCAGGAGTATGAAGAATAATCGTACCAAGTTTCGTTAAAATCCGTGAGATAGTTTTTGTTTCTCTAACGAACATACAGACAGACAGACAAAAATTTTACTGATTTCGCTACAATTGAAGTAGATTTTTTTTTTGAGGAACACATTAGTAAAATAGAATAGAAATAATCAATCAAATAGGTAGATTTGTTTACAAGCTCTTAATTTTTTTTTTTTAATGATTATACTGCTGGATTCGACGTGTTATTATCTGCTGAGAAGAATAGTTACTCTTTTGAAATTATTATGTACAAGATAATTTTATATTC